CCAGCAGCTTTGATTATGGGGGGAAGCCTCCCCCACTACTGTAGGTTTTGTAGGTTGGTCTTGGATGAGTCTCCCATGGGGATGAAATATGATGATAAACCAAGGATAACCAAGGTGCATGAAAATGGACTATAGTTGGGATGGGACACATATGGGATTTGATGGCTTTTGAATGGATTTCAGATCCACCCCAACCAACATAAGACATAGACCCCACCCAAATGGGGGCATGGGTAGAGTTGGAAGACCACTTTAGACTTTTCTCTAAGGATAGTCTCATGGTCTATGTTGGTTAGGGGGGGTGGTAAGATGCAATATCTGGCCTCACCAACTTGTCTAAGTGGACTAATTTCACTTGACGGACAGCTGATTGTCACTGTTGGGGTGAACGTGTCCGCTGTGAGAGAGAGAGAGAGAGAGTTAAGTTCGACCCCTGTAGATGCGAAATGCTAAGGCTATCACCCGTTTGAGTGCATGCAATGTCGGAACTATGAGCTACTAGAACCCTGAAGTGAAACTGAAGCTGGGGGCCTTCAGGCTGTTTCCTCATGCTTTATGGAACTGTTTGGGTAGACGTCCGTTGCGTTTTCCCTTTTGTTGCGAGTTGTTCAAGCTATTCTTTATCAAACTATCCTCCAGCAAACTAACAAGAACATACAAGAATATATATATATATACATATGTATACATATTATATTTTTACACACAGATACTTATATATATATATCATTATGTATCCAAAGTCTACTACATACTTGGCAGATTCGCCATGAATTTTCATAGTTTATCCAGATCACTGTTAATTTGAGAATTGCGGTTACTTGTGACTTGAACTGGAAGCTGTTGAGATTTCCCAATCCTTACGGAGTAGAGTCCCCCTCCAATTTCAGACATGAGGAAAAACGGTCGGAGAAACACAGAAAGTAGGAGAAGTTACTTTGAGGAATTCATCACACACATATATATATATATTATAAAAAAGGTGTGAGTGTGCGGATTTATTTACCTATGTATATACATTAAATATTATATATTATATTATAATGTATTTTTATGCTATTAGTATGTATGTATATATGTACATATATACATATATAGATATATACGGATACAAATTACTGTAAATATCGAGCTATTAAAATTTATTTTTATCGCACCGTGCGCACCGAGGCAGAGATGTCGGAGCCTTGTGGACTATTTGAAGGTCTTGAAAACAGAAACTGGACAAAAGTCGGAATGTTAAAAAAAATACTTTACTTCGTGTGATCCCCACCATGACATTTATACATTTTCTTACTGGCAAATCTTCTGGCATTCTATCTGACATATCTTCTGACATTCTATTTGGCATTCTATCTGGCATATCTTCTGGCATATGATCTGGCATATCTTCTGGCATTCTATCTGGCAAATCTTCTGGCATTCTATCTGGCATATCTTCTGGCACTCTATCTGACATTTTATCTGGCATTCAATCTGGCATTCTATCTGGCATATCTTCTGGCATATATTCTGACATATCTTCTGGCATTCTATCTGACATATCTTCTGGCATATATTCTGACATATCTTCTGGCATATCTTCTGGCATACCTTCTGGCATATCTTCTGACATATCTATCTGGCATATCTTCTGGCATATTTTCTGGCATTCTATCTGGCAAATCTTCTGGCATTCTATCTGGCATTCTATCTGGCATATAATCTGGCATTCTATCTGGCATATCTTCTGGCATATCTTCTGACATTCTTTCTGACATTCTTTCTAACTTTCTTCTGCACATTCTTTGTCCCATATCTTCCTACATGAGGTCCGGCAGGGAACACTTGGTGTGGATACTCGCGGTTGAGGTCCGGCAGGGAACACTGGGCGGGGATGGTCGTGGTTGAGGTCCGGCAGGGAACACTGGGCGTGGCTGGTCGTGGTTGAGGTCCGGCAGGGAACACTGGGCGTGGCTGGTCGTGGTTGAGGTCCGGCAGGGAACACTGGGCGTGGATGGTCGTGGTTGAGGCCCGGCAGAGAACACTGTGGATCGCGGGTCGCAGTTGGACGAGGACGACGAGGACGACGAGGACGACGAGGACGACAAGGACGACAAGGATGACAAGGAGGACGAGGAGGAGGCAGGAGGCATGACGAGGCAGGTGGCGGCAGGAGGCGGCAGGAGGAGGAGGAGGCAACTGACATAAAATCTAACAACCCTCACCTGGCAGGCGGGGAATTAACTGATTGATACGTTCAAGACCTTTACTAAATTACTAAGGTCTCTTAAAACATTGGTCTAAAAGCCTTGGTGTTTTTTTTTACAATGTTTAAAACCTCTACGAGACCTCTAGAGCATGATTAAAACCTCTATAAATGCTGAGCAAAACTTCTAAAAATGATGATTAATTAAACTCCTATCAATGATGGTTAAACCTGATTTGGTCCTGGCTTTGTTGAGTTTAGTAGTCGGTGATTTGGGCAGGATTTTGCCAGAAAATCAACTACAAATAGGGAATCGATTAAGGGAACACAGCACTTTTTTTAGGAATGGAACTGCAGATTTGTCAGAGTTTGTCTTGAAGTTTGTTTAAGAAGATTAGTGTTTGTGCTTAGCATGCTGGTTGGATATTGGAGATCCTGGATTGTTGGACGGCCAAAACTTATCACCAACTGACTGCTGTTTGCTGAATCCAAACCGCCACGGTCACAGTTTTTGATTCAAACGGTGCCAGAAGTGGATGGATTTACGACGGCCTTCGGGCCTTCGGTCACCATGTCACCGTAGGCCTTTTGGGATGGATAGGATTGCCATAGATTTCATATGTGACAAAAACTGTCAAGGCATGTTGAGCCTTGTAGATTTTGTAGGCATCGGATGGGTTTGCCATTTATCCCACAGTTTTGCCAAGTCTGCTAAGGGGACCAAATTGCCAAGCAGTTGACCCACAAAATCCAGATGACTCGTTTTATCCAAGGCTAGTTACGGCTAGCTGTGGAATTGTCACTACGACTGGCTGGTGGTTTCAAAAATGTGTTGACTTTCAACTGTTTAGACTTAGACATGGGATGATTCTGATCCCCACTGATTGATGTTGGCGCATTTTTCAGGGGGACCAATCACCAACAAGACTACGCTGGCTGATCGGCCTAAATCTCCATGTCCATATTCCTTCCACAGACACATTCATAGCCATGATCTACCATGATCCCATGATTTATGGATGAGATTTATTGGTTCAATCATGTTCAATCCCAGTGGTCCTAGTGAGTTTTTCGTGCCCAGGAAGCGGTGAATGGCAAGACGTCCTGTTGCCTCCAAGTGCGCGTTTGATCACCAAGGGATACCCCAAAAAAAACTGAAACGGTTGACGTATGTTGAAGTGACATAAAAACAATGCCACCTGAAGATGGTCAGGATGTTACATAAAGGTTATTGTTTAGTTTTGTTATATAATTCCTTTTGGAGGTTGATAGATATATATATATAATAATATATTTATATATACACATAGGCATAGGTATCCCCAAGTGGTTTTCATCATGCTGAAGCCACCACTGGACTGGCCTGATATGGGTGCCCTGAGATTCCCGTTTCACCGAATCTCAGCGCAGACTGAGGAGCCCGGAGGAGCTGCGGTGCCTGTAAAATATACAAAAGATGGGGCCCATCGCCAATTGCTGCCCAATTCTTGGCCCCACATCCAACCGAATATCAGATGGGATGTATTCCGGATAAGATCGCAGAAGTTGATATCTATGTGGGTTGTTTCTTTGGCGCTCTGTTCTTGTAAGAAAACGAGCATGCACGCCATATACTGTAAATTCCTACCATGACTTGCCAGGCACCTTGTTGCTGCATCTGTGGAAGCACCGCATGATCCAAACCATACGAGCCTAACTCATCATGCCCTCCAAAGGCAGGGGGATTCCATCCGGTTGAAAAAGGGCAGATGACTTGCTGGCCTTTTGTTTGGGAGCCCCAAAAGAACCACTTGCTGATGGTTTTATTAAGATTGGAACCAATCACAAGACATATGTCTTGTGTTGTTTTCATTCTGGCAATGTGTTCCTTTTCAACTTGTCTATGGCCTGGCTGTTTCAAATCAATACAGACGGGCCAGATGCTTGTTTTGTCACGATTTCCCGCAAAGAGATTTGCTTCCAATGACCACCAACCAACAGATCCAGCAGTGAACTGATGCGGATTGGATTGGAGAGCACCTTGGTGAATCCTAGTGACCTGTTGTGATGATTCTCTTCATGCCCTGCGTCATCGGTTTACGGCGTTTACGGGAAAGGTTGCAAAAAACCATGGTTTGCTGTCCTTAGACCATGGTTCCCGGTGATGTTCAATAAATGTTGCCTGTCCACTAAGGAAAGTGACTGAGAAGAATTTCCAGCGTTTGGAGGTGCCGCAATGTTGGTCCTGGTTTTGGCTCATCGCCGTGGCACATTGCAGCCATCATTTTCCATCGCCAGGACGATACGGCGAAGCTCACCCGTGGAGTGGGGATCTCAACATGTTGGACTTACGATGTCATGGTGCTTACTATACAAGTGCCAAGGCATATGATTTGTACACATAAAAATGTATCATTAAATTATGCATACATATAAATGTCTCATTAAATCCTTCAAAACACGCATATACATTTACATATATATACAATTGTGCGCAAATTAATACATATGTGATATACACATTATACACATACAGTAGTATGTTACCCTCTGATACGCTATAACTAGCCAGATCGATCAGATTTTTTGGATCAGCTCAGGCGTCTGGAGCCATTTGGCTTCAGCAAAAAACCACGTGACCAGCATTTTTTGGAGACAGCAGAGAGCGCTTCCTCAACTTGTTCTTAGTCTTTTCGATTCTTTTTATCTTTTTTTTACCGTGAAACCCACCACATACCACATACGCCAAGCGTGTCAACTGAAACCCACTGCACCTGGAATGAGTGCAGCTGAAGTCTTCCCTTAGATAATGCAGCAGCTCCTCAGCCAACAAACTCACTGGAACCATTCGGCTTCGGTTGACAAATCAAATTCGTGGACAGAGTGTGCGGTCGCAAGGGTAGCTTGGAAGCACTCGGAGCATAAAGATGTCTGATCACTATGCAGTCATGACAGTCTTGACGTGGGATTATCCGTGGAACCGTTCATGTTGATATCTCTTGTGTCGCCTTACTCATATAATATACAGTATACACATTGTGACAAAAAGGCGTTGTGTTGCTTCTGATGAACTTAGGTTATATGTTTGAATGATGTTGAATGGCAATTTTGCATTTTTCTTTCGGGCCATTTTTTGTGTTGGTTGCTGTTGTTTGTTGCCAAGCAGGGTGGAGATGCTGTGACATTCTCTCACTGGCATGATGCCAGATAACAATTGAGTTTTGAACCCACCGATCGTGCACACTTTGTAGTGGCCATTGCAGCATGTTCCAATGTTCCTGTTTTGATTAACTCTGGATATATACATATCATAGATATATGTAGATATCATATGATATCATCATGTTTGTCTACTTTTGTTGGGTGTAAAATGACGAAATGATGCAATTACAATAGATACCGTTGTGCACCTATTTCATGCATATATATATATAATTATATATACATATGTATATATTTACAGTAAATAATTATATACATATACATTCTATTCGTGTGTAGTATTGCGTGTCTTCATTTGGGGGCCACATGGGGGAATTTAATATTGGGGAGAAGGGCCAGGACCAAATCTTAACAACGAACCAGTTCTGATTCTTTGGACGTGGAACTTGCTCAGGCCAGTGACTTAATAGCCCAAAATGCATCCTGTTGTATCATATTACATCCTACAATTAATTGTGCCATTCTACGCATTCAATTATATCCTATGGATTATATACATACATATAAACATATGTATATATGTATGTATACACATAAACATATTTATACACATGTATATATATATATTTAAATATGTATATAATGTATGATTGAACGCGCAATGGCTGAGTGGCTGCTTCGATTTCGCGAGCCGTGTTGCACATCCACTCTAATGTATATACACATTTATTATATATATATATACACTCATACCATATATATATATATACGGTATGTACATCCCATTTTCCTATTTTATCAATGAAACGCAACAAACAGGATGCATACCAATGCTTGTATCCTATACAGGAGGAATAGTCATATTTCATTATATCAATTATATTAATTATACTATACTATATTATTACACTCTTTGTGCATCCTATATTATACTATAATATAACTATATCAATTATATCACATGAATCTCCCGTGTTGTACCATGGTTTCCAGTACAGTATTTTTTCCCTTAATCCAATTCATTGATGATCATATTTGGTGTGGTTCAATTCCCATTTTGAGAGATTTTCAATGGTTGCATCCCCATTTATATCCCAATTTCAAGCAATTTGTTCGAATCCAAAGTCTCTCATTCTGACCCTTTTTCCCTGCCAAGGTGGCCATGGGAAACCAGGTGCCGGTGCTCCATTGTCGCACCCCGGAGTGCACCAACCGTGGCCGCTGTGATGTGGCCGTGCCTCGTTTTGATCCAGAGAGTTGTTTCAGTTGTTTCAGGTACTAGGCTACGATTGTTTCCTGATTTATCCAAAGAAATGATGATGATGATGATGATGATGATGATGATGTAAGGGGAAAGCACCAGAAAATGACCCTAAATCTGACCAGGGATTTACAGATGACCCAGATTCCAATTAGGGTATATTCAATGAGGTAAGAACGAGGTCATGGTTGATGTCAGAGATATCCATTTCAACAATTGCAACCTGGCTCTACAGCTACGAATTTGCCTAGCTATAGCTGTTGTGTATATATATATATATATGCATGTATATGTATATATATATATATATCATGTACATTGATATGTATATATATATATACATAACTGATGGTTTAATATTAATTAATATAGCCATGAAACATCCTATGTTTAATACGTAAACCGTATGTTTTCATGGGCGATTTTTCCAAAAAGGGAACATATATATATATATATATATACATATGCATATCATAGTAAACGGTCATATTTCCGGAGGGTACAAGGGTAAACTCACTACACTAGGGCGTCCGCTGCCTGGAGGAAGGCTGTCGCTTAAACTTTTGGCACGTAACTCTGCCCATTCTGAGTGACAAGAAGAAGGATATAGAAAGATCCAATTGCGATCTTTACGCGCCCAACTAATTACTGGTGTTTTTTTCTTGGGTTGCCAATGCGGCACTGTGAAAGTTGCTTCGCCATCACAATGGTCACTCAGCTATGACCGGATGAAACCTAAGGACTGCGTCCTCGAGCTACGAACGAGAGCCACTTGTTGTGACAGACAATGTGTACTTGTCTAAAATTGCATACCACATACCCTTAGCTTTACTATGTATATATATATAATATACTGTATATATAATATCATGATTTCTTTGATTAAATCTAATCAGAAAAATATATCATGGTAATTGGAGTCCCACAGATTTTCTGATGGAACGAAAACATGGGGCATGCCCGGCATGCTCCATTTTGAGACAAATCCTTGTGGGATGAAACCAGTACTGCCACGACGGACATCCTGGGCATGTTGGATGACTATCATGTTTGGATTTTGATCTTATTGGATTCGGGTTTGCATTTGTGAATTGAATTATCGGATTACTCTGTATGTCTAATTACCTCCGTTTTTGGTGCACAGTCAGTGAGTTCTCAATTATCTCAAGACACAGTTGCTGTGAAGTCCATTTGCCCCATTTGCGCTTAGGAGCAAGAGGAGAAATGGAACAAAGAGTTTCAATTGCTCCAAGCCGTCAAGAACCAGAAGTTGGAGGTTGTTAAAAACCTCATCTCAATGAAAGCTGTCCCTTGGAACGGTTGCAATCCCTTCCCCTCAGAAACCACAGTTTGGCATTGGATCTATATGTTCATTTTGGGGGAAGGGTATTTAAGATGGATAATACACCACAAAATCAGGATTACTTGAGATGTTATGTAGCTATGTGACACACATACATGCAGTAAGTAGATAAGTAACATGTTTCTAATTCATGACAATTCGGGCAATCGCCACCTTTGGCACTTCCATGCAATTGATTTTGTTGCATTCAGTTGAGTTAGATGACCGTGCGGCCATATCAATCCAAGACGGCGCAGGAAGCTTCAGGTTCATGAGAGTGGCAAAATTATTTGCTAGTACCCTCTATATAGTAATTTAACAAATATAATCATATATAATCATGTATAATCATATAATTATATAATTATATATATATAAATTATAGCTAATGAAGCCGTTGCCCCTTTAGTTTGACAATTTAAGCACTTGACTGTAAAAAATGGTGATATTCCATAGCACGCTGTTGGTCTCACACGTTACCAGCGTATAGCAGCATGTCAACCAACCTTGCGGTAGGCAACTCGATGATCATACGATATCGTACAACCGAAGAATTTCGACATTTTTCATGGCGACTTTCTCCACTGCAGTTCATCAACTTGATCAAGCATCAAAATTCATCAGCAGAAGTTGCTGCAAGGATGTGAATGCGCGGCAGCCTTCACTGGTTACTTTAGAAAGGTACCACTCTGGAAAAGCCATTCGCAGCGGACAGACCCCCCTGTGCCTCGTCCTTGTGGATGTGGGAGTGGCTCAGTCCAGGTTGGTCACAATCTGGTACTAAACGAAGCATCCTGAGAAGAGGAGGAAAAAAGTGAATGAATTGATCATCCGTGTTCTTATTGCATGTAATTAATTTATTATCTTGATGATAGGATGAGTAGTAGTTTTCATCAGTTGTTATTATTTGCATTTTTTAGCATTGGGGTTCATGAGTTTCCGGTTGTTGGGAACAATTTCAACAGAAATTCTTTCTTCAAAAACGCACTTCTGGGGCTGGTTTGACCGGCTATCCTTTTGGGATGATTTTGGGACAACTATGTTGTTTTCTTTTTTTACAGTACTTGCTTTTCTATAGTTTGCATTTCCCGGAAATGGTGGTCCAGGATGACCAATCTATAAAGACAAGTACACACATTTGCTGCTCAGGTGGCCCAAAATGTATTTCATCATTTGACCATTGGTTTCAAGCAAGTTTCCAATTGTCCAATCTATTTCAGAGCTTTTTTCATTGGTTTTCAGCATTTGTTCAAAATATTGCAACATTTTACCATAGGCTTTCATCAGTTAGCATTGGCTTTCATTAGTTTCTTTCTCCCGGCTGGATCTGACCGGCTACCCTTTTGGGATGATTTTGCGACAACTATTTTCTTACGGGTCTACTTTTTTCCTATGATTGACTTTTCCCGGAAACGGTGGTCCAGGATGATCAATCTATAAAGAAAAGTACACACACACATACACTTGTTGATATGTGTTGATCAGGTGTCCCAAAATATATTTCATCCTTTTACCAGTGGTGTTAAGCTAGTTTCCAACCTGTTTCAGCCTTTTGCCATTGGTTTTCAGCAGTTGTCCAACCTATTTCAGCCATGTGCCATTGACTTTGAGCAATTGTCGAACCTATTGCCATAGTTTTTCATTAGTGTTCAACCGATTTCATGATGTTTAGCATTAACTCTTTTATTTTTGTTTGACATAATTCATTATATAGTTTACCATTGGTTTTAAGCAATGCTCAAACCTATTTCAGTCTTTTGCATTTGGTTTTAAGCAATTGTCCAAGCTGTTTCAGCATATTTCCATTCGTGTTCAGCTGTTGTTCAACCGATTTGCCATTTTACCATCGTTTTCATCAGAATTTCAAAATCTGTTTCATTAACTTTAGCATTGGTTTTCATTAGTTATTTCTCCCATGTTTTGGATATGTAGTTACGGGTCTCTTTTTTCGATAATTCACTTTTCCCGGAAATGGTTGTCCGGGATCCGGGATGACCAATCTATAAAGAAAAGTATGCACATTTGTTGATCAGGTGTCCTAAGATATTGTTTTTTTATTTTACCAGCGGTTTTAAACAATTGTCCAACCTAATCCCTCCCCCTAGTACTAACCCCTGCTAATGATAAACACCTGGGGGATCCTGGGCGAATTTTTAATAGTGGAGTGTATTTAGTATTAAGGTGCGAAGCTTCCCCCTAACACTAAATGAAAGACCACAATAAAAAGAACTAGTTGTTTCTATTTCAAAATCGAGTATATACACCCCTTTGTACAATCTAATTTAAATTGCCAAAAATATGTTTTCGATGGTTCCCATATAATACATACTATATATATAATATATTAATAAATAACCTTAAGATTAAAAAACTAGTGCAGAACACACCAGTGTTGACTAGTTTTTATTGGGGCTGAAACCCTCAAATGGGACCTTCATGTTTAAATTTGTTTTCTAAAGGGGATCAATTAAGAATCAAAGTCGGGAACTTCAAGTTTCCCAAAATTAAAAGGGACCCTGATTTTCAATATTTGGAGTACGTTTGGGGAATGGATTATTTCAGTTTTTTAACATTTGTTTAGGCAATTCTCAAACCTATTTCAGCATGTTCCATTGGTTTCCAGCAGCATTGTCAAATCTACTTCATGATATTTAGCATTGATTTTCAACTTGTGTTTTTTTCAACTCTTGCGAGGAAAACCTAATTTTGGAACGACACGGAGACAGGCGACGCCTGTCTAAGTTAGACCTGTTGTGTTTTCCATATTTCTGAACAGCACAGAACTATTCGGAGGTGCAATTCCAGGTAAAATTGAATATATATATATATTAAATATATATATATATATATAAATAACTATATGTATATATAACCATTCTTACAGGGTCCATAGTGGAGAACATCACCATGGTTTTTCCCATCCAAGAAAAACCCAGCTGCACCACCAGTGAATCACAGGGGCAGTCAATGGCTTGACCTATCCTATTTCTTTGATATCGCCAAAGACGTGTTCAATGTAACGTACTCTTGGAATATCCTGTAATTATGTATTTCGTGCAATGATTTTGTTTTGTTGAGAGATGTTTTGTCCCCCATGGCCTTCATTGCCAAGAGAATTTTAGGCTCAACATGTTTCTTTAAATGTGTCCTTTTCTGATACAGCATCAGATTGCATTATCTACACATGCATGCCAAAACGGAAGACATATCAAACACCACCAATGTGGACAATAAATGATAATTTTTCATGATTTGCCATCGATGTCAATTGCAATTTTCCCAATTCTAAGTACCTCCATGAACGTCCAAGAAAAGCCTGGTGCCTAGGATGTGTGCTGCCAGCTCGGGCAATGCGGCGATCATTCGAATGCTCCTCAGTGCCAGGGCGCACTTGAACGATACCAACGAGCGCGGCGTGGCTCGCTGAGATGTTATGGGATAATAACGGAATAGTAACGGATATTGCTTGGATTTACTGGATATTATGTGATTTTGTGGACCTACAATAAAACAACATATATATATGTGTGTGTGTATTATTTGTTCATATTAACGATCCAACCATTTTATGGTGATATGCGGAGAGATCATGGGACATGTAACCAATTTGGAGATACTTTTGCGTGTAAAAATGGAGGGGTATACCCCTAGATTAAATTATGGATCGTTAAATGTGGAAACTAATGATTTACGACTCACGACTATATCAAACAAATTCTTGGGAGATCCTATGTTCAGACGAACCCACCCGGGGTATGAAATGGTTGACCAAGTGTTTCGCTTGGTAAATTTGAACTGGGAAAAACAGTGTTTTGCCATATATCCAAGAGAGACCTTGGGATGATGTTGATACAACTGGTGCATGGGGGTGAGTTTGATTTGTAAATGAATATTATTCAAATGATATCAGATACATCCTTTGGTAATCAAACTTGCACCATAACCTTCAATATCCCATTTAAAGATTATGTCACATTAAAGCCTCCATTTACATGATTTCCCATTGCCATGTTTGATTGGCAGAAGGTATAACGAATTCTTCTCCTCTGATTTCATGCCTATGACCGTGGATTGCTGCCACATTAGGTGCTTCCTAATGTGGCACAATTAAAATCAATCTATTATATATATATATATACAGTATATATATATATATATATACTGTGGGGATATACATTCCCAAGCATTGAGGTGGTTTTGGGAATCGGGGAGACGTTGCTCCAGCCGTTTCGCGTTCTCACATCAGTTGTGACAGACAGTCACTCATTCTTGCTTCAAAATGATGCCTTGTTCTTCTGTAAGTGTTTCTAAATCAAATTACTGTAGGTCAAGGATACTTGAGGAGTGTTCAAAACCCTGTTGGTTAATGATCATAGGGGATTACACTACCCAATAAGCCCAATATATTGGAGATTTTCGCAATCCAACAGGGGAATCCTCCTCAACCAACCAGTATAGTGGAATGATAAATTTGGATTTTGGATGTTGCTCACTTGGTTTGCGTGAAATTGGAACACGATGATTAACCATCAAACATGTTTTGCCCCGGAATTTTCAGACGAACCCACTGAATGACAGTCACTCAAACGTGCCTCAGGAGATTGAAAACATGCATGAGCTGTTCAGATCAACTTTGTTGATTTTCCATGTTGATGATTTCAGCATGTTTTTGAATACATATGCACTCGGAGATGTGTTGACCTTAATTTGGGTTCATTTTAGTTTGTTTTCTCTAAATTTTCTCCTTAATAATTCCAGGATTGGATGAATTTAACGTTTGCCTTTCTCAACCTTGTCCATGGACCAGGAAACCGCGCTGCATCTGGCGGCGTCCTCGGGTGACATCAACAGCGTGGAGGAGCTCATCAAAGCCCAGGTGCTGTCGTTGACGTGGCTGGGAAATCCCGGAAGAAAACGGGCATTTGAATTGCATTTGAAACATGGGAACATTAAATGTTGGATTTTCCATTGCCATGTTTGATTACCAGAGGGTGTATAGTATATAGCCTCCCAAAGATTCAGACAATGTGTGTAATATGCCATTTTAATTCTTAGGAATGCATATGTTTTTTTTTTTTCTGTGGTGGTTGCGTAGTACTTTACGCCGATCTATTGCCACGAAATGTCATGAATTCGCTTTGACTTCATGCGTTAGTCGAGCCATACATTGGCGCCATAGATTACAACCCAGTTTCTTTGCCTGGGCCAGGCCAACCCCAATTCTTTGACCTACGAAGGACCGGCTGGAACAGAACCGGCCGGTGGATCATGGATATATACATGTATATATATATATGTATGTATAATCATATGCATTATATTATGGTGGATATGTGGTGGAAATATTTCGGACGTATGGTGCACTCGTTTTGAGGCCGCTGACTTCATCAATCAACCATACCTGGATGAGCCATGGAGTTAGCGAATTGCTATGGATATAGCATGATATAACCCCTTATAACTGGGAATAGAGTGGGTTGTACAGTGATTCACTCACTGATAACGCGGGATACCACGATGGTGGGGAACGAAAGCATCCCCCAAGTCTGGAGCATCCCCAAGTATTGCTGGGACAGGAGACACAGTGCTGGACTATTTGCCACGAGAGATCTTGGAGGACCAAAACGAGGGACATTTTGGTCAGTGGTTTGCAGATGTTCCCAAGTTCCATTCTTCCAGCAATGCTTTACACAAGCTGCCAGGACGCAGTCTTACTCAAGGAATTCCAGGCCTTGTTGCCGGTCACTCCAGAGGCTGGATGTTCTTCCTTGCGCCCGAAGGTGATATGCTATTGTCCCATTGGTCAATCCACCATTTGGGGAATCCACTGGGACTATGTCTGATTTTTTTCGTTGGCTCTTAAGCAAATTGTTGGTGGCGGTGATTCGCTTGCATTCCACACCTGCAAAGAAACCTGTTAGAACGACATTACGTTCATTTACTTCTCATGTGTGTTGAGTTTTCTTCTGCACAAACTGTGTAGTTCACGGGTTGCTTTCGGGATCTTTACCTGACTAGTAGGGTGTAGTCATAATGTCACAGTAAATTGCACTGATATATTGCTGGGCTTCTGGAGCATCAAATTGACGCTGATTTCATTGGTTCAGATCAAACTTGACCAACATGACATTCATATCAAACATGGCGTCCCAGCAAGTATTCCCTTGACAACGGTTGCAAAACGCCTCCATGTATGGATCCCCCACATGTTGCAACGCAGGACGACGATGCTGTGCCCAGTGAGTCAAACTCACGTCGCAAAAGAGCCTCAACTGAAGCGACAGGTGAATGGTTTGCTTATTTTCCTGCTGAATTGGATATAGAATTGACCTTTAGCAGGGCATCCTTATACATAATTAGGGGGACAATTTCGCAAGGTTTGCACATAGACTCACATAGATGGATCCTAACACGAATCGGTTGAGGTTCGTGTGGTTGAGATTCGTGTTGCATGAATCGTTTGGGACGCTGCCTAGGAAGGATCCCCTCCTAGATGCTCCTTGGCAGGATGAAGAGAAGATGTGTCCAAGACCTGGGCTGGATCCAAATTGAATAATTATTCACTAAGTCGCCAAGTACATCAACATCCCAAGGGGTCGCATGGCTATTATTGATGCTATTGTCCCCCTGTTCAGGGCGCCAGGAATATGGACGTGTTTAAATCATTTCAGCACCAAGATTCGCCAAGATCCAGAATCAATCTAAGTACCTCATGCCATTCGTAAGCCTATCTTTGTGACGCTGGTGTGCTGTGTGAAACCAGACCAACAGAATGAGCAAACCGAAGATATTACCAAACCCAGATTCGTGCTGCAACCAGGCGTGGTTGATGACTTCTCTGCAGCATGGGATGCGATGCCGACAGCGGCCTGGGTGTGATACTCTTGAACCGCAATGCATTCTGCAAGCTTTGAACACATGGAGGTTGTTCAATAAGGTCTTCCAACCAACAGGAGGGGAAACAAAAAACACATTGCAGATGCTACCTATCTCATTCCTACAGTCTTGTCTTCGTCTCCCAATGATTTCCCTGCACCCTGACTTTTGTTTCGGCCAGGCTTTGTAGGACGACCTGTTGCCTGGACTCTAAGGAATCCAAGAGTCAAGATCATGTGTCTCAATGTTTTTTCTCAAACATACTCTAATGATCACACACTTGTATGTTTCATATTCTATTAGTTTTTGTTCAAGAACCCATGCCCATTTGCCCGGGATGATGCCCGGAAAGATATCCATGCGTGTTGTAATCCATTTATCAATGCTTCAGTGGCTTGATTTAAGGAAACATCTCCTGGAAGAAACGCTTGAAATGTGTATTAATATCATTTAATATCACCGAATATTTGGGCATCCTGCTGTAGGTTTTCCTGAAGCCCCTGGAAATATGAAACCTGCTACAACCCAATGTGAGGATCCGAGGCCCAACTCTCTCTCGTTGAATCGTTTTACTCTCCGGTAATCAAGCCTGGCAATGGGGAATTCCCCAAAAAAGGATGCTCTTTAATGGGAATAGATCCTCTATAAATATCTATAAATAGCTATAAATGTGCCATTGTCGCCTTTGTTTACCGGAGGCTGTTGGGATCGGCAATGGAATGCGTTGAATCTGTTGGGATCCACAGAGTCCATGTTCTGAGAATGTTGGAAAATGGTATGGTCGACCGAGTCGACCTTGGCAGAGACTCGAAACCTAGAGATTTGCCGGGACAAAGCGTTGCCGTTGGGAGCAACCGGGGCTGAAATGTGGAGCCATGTAGCAACTGTATGCAACTGTGGGATTTGTATAATACTTGGGTACACCCCCAAAATGAGAAGCTGCAAAACATGTCACAACACAACAGCACCTGAGTAAATACGATTGCAGTTTCCAATATGTCAGATATGTCAGGTTCTAGGTTTTGGAAGCGGTTTTAATTAATGGATTTAAATTTTAATGGTATCCCAAATGAGCGTTCAAACCTTGATTCAATGAGGTCGGTCTCACGTCCTTAACCCCCCAAACAAAGTCTTCATCAGGGGCAGGGCATGGGAAGGCATGCGCTGAGTGTCTTAGCCGCTTTCATGGAGGCCTCTTGAATCAATGTATCACAGTTTTTTCATTTTTTTCCATGTTTTTCCCCTGGTCCTTTCGCTCTTGGACTTTAAGAGGTGGGGCCGTAATGATGGTGTCTTGATGGTGATGTTTTCCACCTCTTCTCGATGTTCCGCTCGAAAGTTTCCGCCCAACTTTTCGGGATGTCGCCTCGGCCCAGTCACGAAGCTTCAGAATTTCCCTATGAGAATTGATGCACCAGTGGGATACTGAATGATACGCAAAGGCTTTCAAAAGAACAGATGCATACGGTACCTGCATGTATTACTACACAGTATCACAGTATAGCGTATCACATCGTATCACGCAAACATGTTGAAATATGTTGAGTCGTTCATGCACAAAGTTTCCACTCGCTACGGTGACACAACAAAAAGCCTTCGTTGTGACACAACCGAACTGCGGTTGCTCCACGGGCTGCGAGCTTAGAGTCACACGGCGCCACCTGGAGTGGCTACTCCGGTAATCAATGGCAATGGGAATGCCATGGAATTTCCCCAAACATGAAGGTTTTATAAGGTTTTAATGTTTTGATGGGAAAATAAAATCATCCAAACAATTGTCCATTGATTTGATTACCAGAAGGGAGATGGATTATGATGGATTAATTATATCATGGGTAAGTATTTTATTAGCCAGTTAGAAATAATGCAAGGTATCTAAGGTAGATTGGTTATGATAGCTGGAGAATGGGTGAAGCCTGGGCCACTTTCAACCACTCTGAGATGAGCAAGGCTCGGCTCAACTCGAAAGAAAGGTGGACCCCCCACACATTCAAAAGGAAAACGGTGTCCATACAGATCTTCGGCTGTTTTGCCCGTGGTTTTGGAAAGTGTACTGTAGGTTCTGATTCTAGAGGCAGCCAGTCTGAAGATATATAATAGATCGGCAATCCTCAGCTCGAGCCCTACGAATGTCGCGGCTATCCCTTCCAAATCCAATTCTTGTTAGATTACAGCACATGCGAGAGTAGGCTGCTGCTCTTCGCCTTTGCAAAGAAAAATGCTGTCCCAAAAAACACCTAGACAAGATACTGTAGTGAAAGATCAAGAAGACTGGCCCTTGTCTGACTAGCAACATTGAAACTGGAAGCCACTCAAAGTACATAGCTGACATAGCTTTGGAAGTTGAATATCCAAAGTACATAGCCTTCCACAGAACCTTCCACAGATGCTTTGGAAGTTGATTTTCCCGAGGCCATGGGGAATGTTCCGCCGCTCCCCATGCGATGTCGAACCCCTGAGTGCAATCGCGGCTGCGATGTGGCCGTGCCTCTGTGAATGTTTGGGACATGTTTGGGTCAATCTACATGGGATCTTTTCCGACTGGCTGGTGGTTTCAGATATTGGATGATATTGGCATGGTGAACCAACATACATGGGTGAATATAGGTGAATCATATGGATAACATAGTATTGGATAATCATGGTATGGAAAACGCATGCCGCATGCGTATAGGCGTAGCATGGTATATACCTACGTACTGTATCGTTGTAATTGCACGCACTTAAGGAGTGAACTACTTGTTTGTGCTTGTCTATGCATGCATATAATCGCTTATTATATAAAAGAACAAGGAAAAAGAGAACACACCTACTCATTATGGCTGAAGGTTTTCTGATTTGATCTTCACCCCGTCGGAGCCGCCAGAAAACAATCCCCGAAGTTGGTTCACCATGTATATACTCAATGACTAATCAAAACAAATCAAAATGGCGGTTGGCTTTCCAGGTGTCATCAACCAATGATGGTAAACTGAGGAATTCTCCAAAGAAATCAACTGATAAGTTACCATAAGTGGTGGTTTGGGTTGACGCATCCGCACCGAAGCCTATGGCACTTTAAGATACTTTAAGTGGCATATTGGCTCCTTGCATCCTTTACACTCCAGTCCCAAGGATTGTGTGCAAGAGATGATGGAAAAGGCAACCTGGCAGTTGGTAGTTTGGAGGGATGATAGGGATGGAGAGCCAATGAGCGCCATCACATGATATGCCTGACAAGTTCATTTGAACATCCCGAGCCACCCAGGACCCACCGCTCATTTTGAAGCGAATTGGGCCATTTTAGAATTTACAGGGTAGAGTTGTGCAAAAGTGGGCCAACATGGACATGGACCAAAGTGTAAGACCATACATTTGCCCGGCTGGAGCAAGAGGTGACAAGATACAATAAGATATGGACATAACCCTAGCACCAATGATAGGCAGGGATCCCGCCCTCGCTCCTGAGCCTTAGGATCAAAGCCCCTGCTACGAGCTAGAGTCGCTTGGCCCGAAAAAGCCCATGAGACGGGGTAGCAAGCCATGTGGTTTTGAACAGGTTTTTTAGGCGCTACAATACAACTGCAGTCATGGGCAGTCATGGGTGATGTTTGGTATGGGATATTTCACCAACCCTCTTATGAAAGCATCAGTTGGGCCACTGGACTGCAGGGTGCCACTCCACACAAGGTTGATGCGCGCGGTGCGAAACGGAAATTTGGAGGGTGTGCGCCATGCCATCGCGATGAAGGCAGAGCCTTGGCAGAATGAGATTTGTCAATCCGCGTCAAGCCCTAGTCGGCTACTGGCATTTCCCAGCAGAATTTCGTGCAAGCTTGGCTACAGCAATTGCTACTAAAATGGTGTGCTTATCTCCTCATTAAGTAGCCCATGAGTTGTTTACAGGCTGGAGAATGGGGCAATGTGGGGCATTTCATCGTTCGCCATCTATAGAGGATGCTAGGAATTTGGTTGACCATCCCTGTTTTGATACATAGGTTATGTATGGTTATGTCAAATCATGTCAGATCGTAGGTTGCCATTTCAATTGGGACTAGAAATCGCCACTTCCCCCAGGTTTGCACCTGCAGGACGCCCCTACTGAGGATGTGAATGTGCGGCAGCCTTTGAAGCTCATTACCATTGATCGCTACCAATCTGGAGAACCCATCCACAACTGTGGCCTCACACCTTTGCGCCTCGTAAAAAGCTGATGGTTTTTTTCACGTTTTTCCTTTTCTAATCTTCCACGTTTCATTGGGGAAATTGGGGGAAATTGTAATGGAACATCATTTGTAAGTACATAGGGGATTCCAGGGAATTTCCAATGTCGGATTCGAGTACCAGAGGGCAAGAGGCTAGCCAAGATGCCGGGCAAAAAGCCAGAGATTATTTTGGATTGAAAAAGGCACATCCTTGTTTGGTGAAAAATTAACTTTTGGAGCGGCCAACCCTTAAACGGAGCTTTTTTGATGAGACGGAAGTTTTTGGATTTTGGATGGATGGCTCCAGCAATTTGTGATGTTTTGAGTGGAATGAGTTTCTCTCAATTCCACAGGTGTGGCGGAGACTTTCGCCGCATGAAGAACGCATAACTCATGTGTCCATCTTGAAAACCTCTACCAAGAAAGTGACAAACTGAAACGGCATAAATTCCCAACCAAACGGCGTAAATTTCCAACCAAACAGCGTAATTTATTTTGGTTGTTTTCAATGCATATTTGGACTTTGACCTGCTACCTATCTGCCCATGTTGCTGAGAGTGTGTGAATATCAAAAAAGTGAGAACATGCAAGAATGGCAGCTGACACGGCAAGAATCCCGCACAACAGTTGAAACGGAAGTTTGTGGCTGAGACGGCAGAAATTACTGAAGCGACAATAATTTCTTTAGCCTGGGCCTGGGCTGGCGGAAGAAACTTTACCCAGCTGGCAGGCCTAGGTATATATACATGTATATATCGTATTTATGCATATGTATACACGTGTCTCTACATCACACGCTTGGGCAAATCCGCATCTTTTCACATGCAAAGCAGAAGCACGAGCACAGCAGGGCTGCACATTGGACGGCTCAGAGCCGAAGAATAAGATTGTCGGATCTAGAGTTACTTTGGGCCAAGAGGTGACTATTCCATGCATAGTTGATGTCCTAGTGACATCGTCTTGTTTTGCGCGGTTGACTATGAATGGGTTTACGGTAAAACATGTAAAATCTACTGGAAACTATAAACCATGGATTGTACATGCGCTTACCTCCAAACATGAAAGTGTCCTGCAACTTCTCCGGGGGGTGTGCCGTCAACTGATAAGCCAAGGATGTATGCAGCCAGCAACGGCAAAGCCAGTGTCATTCGGGCTTTACTCAGTGCAGGGGCTCGTGTGGATGATACTGACGAGCGTGGCGTTTCTTGGATCGCAAGTGAGGAACACTGCCGAATGGAAAGGATGGAATGGTTGGCACTGTGCCAATCCATTTAAAGCAGCGCTTAAAAAGACGGAAAAAAATAGAACAAATATATATATATATAATTTACTATTTCAGTACATGGGATTTACTTTTCTATTTTTGTTGATGGTGGTTTAGGTTTAAACAAATGTTTAAAGATTATATATGTTTGAATGGGACCACGATATTGAACCCACTTGCTACCCTTTATGTAACAAGTATAATGACTTCAAATAAGCGATTCCTGGTTGAACAGATTCGCAGTAGATAAAGGCAGTTTATAAGCTTGTATGGTACAGTTCTGTCAAATCAGACACCCGGACACTATACTTCACAGTCAAGGCCGTCAGGACATGTCCCCATCTCAGGTTATCTGCTTGCAGTTTCAAATTGCACTAGCAAACAAACAAGGTATTTGCTGATATAATCTACACGTAAATGAGTTTGTTTGACACCAGCGTTGCAGAAAAATGTGTATGCCAGAAATGAGAACCACCCCATTATGTTTTTCTTTTTGCAGTAATGTTCATCTCCTTGAGCTATGCTGGTTAACCCGGTTATTACCAAATCACCCAATGATTATCCAAGAGCATCCTAAGTTCCAAACGTTCTGCAGTCATCTTCCAAGTTTCCACTTTCCAGCCATTTTCCAGTCATTTTCCAGTAATTTTCTTCCATTTTCCTGTTTTTCCAAGTTTTCTTCCAGGTTCCCAACTTCTCAAAGTTCCCATCGCTCCGGAGGTGACTGCCCTGCATCTGGCGGCCGCCTCTGGGGACATCCATGGCTTCCGAGAGATCATCGACGCCAAGGCGCCGATGCGCCGAAGCGCATCTCAGCCCCTCTGGAAATGATTTCAATTGAAATCCTCACATATCCTTTAGATTTTAAAGGAAAATCAATTGAAAATCAAGTGACTATTTTTCAATTGAAATTCTTACTGAAATCTCATGAATCTCATTGTTTGTTTTGCTGGTGATTAATTACTGTATATACTGTATTTGGAGGTGACAATCTTCTCAAGGATCTAGACCTTTGAACTTTGTGGGGAAGTTGTTAAACCGAACTTGAGATTAACCACATCAGGGGTCTTCACTGAACTTGGTGTAGAGTATGATGTTGTGTCCAGCCAGCAATAACTTTGTAGTCCCCCCACCACATGACTCACCAGACTCCCAAACACAATCATTGACCGTGTGTGACTTGTGGCATGAAGAAGCACTAGGAGACCAGAAAGGTGTGACGTGATGTGGCCGCGTGGCTACAGTGTGGATACCCCACAGTCTAGACCTGCATTTGGATATGCCCCCAAAAAATGCCCTTTGGTAATAGAACCTTGCAACAAGAAAGCTGTATATACATAATAATACTAATATATATATATATATACATAAGTTGAAAGCTTTGCTGAACTCCTTGAGTAGGCGAGGGAGAGAGAGGATAAGTTTCAACTCAACAGGTTACACGAAAACATAACATGTAGGTAAACCATGCTACTTGCAAGTGCTTGTAAGCTCATTCTCCACATATTTGCCATAAACATCCATAAACTCTATATGCAATTTCCATCAATTTCCCCTTTTGCAGGCCAAGACCAATTTGATCACAGAAGAAGGTCGGGCACCACAGAATTTGGTGCAAGGTGGGGCCGCGGTACGGAATCGCTAAGAGGTTACCTATGGATACCCATGGATCCCTGCGAATACCTATGGATACCTATGGTTTTTGGTAGATGTAACTGTATGCATGTTAATGCCATGAGTCATGAGTTAGGGGTTGGAAAACGACTTTCTTTTTGAGCTATGTTAGTTGGAGGGGCCGCAGGGATGGCAGTGCTTCACTGTTTGGCTGGTTGATGGTTATGCAAGGGATACCCATGTGAATACGCCAACAATCCACACACGTACGATCCATCATATATGGAATCAATTCTCGAGTCTTGTTGCTGGTTTTAGATGTGTTTTAGTGTTCACCCACGGTCCCTTGTCGATTGATGTTTGCTTGGGATGAGTGCAACCCTCGACCAACTAGTTGTTGCAGCACTTCCAATTTGTTTCAAACCAGTTCCGCGGGGAAGCACAACCCAGGTGAGAATGTTTTGGACTTTCTACCACGCGAAGTCTTGGAGGACATTGTCACGGGAAGAAATTGTGCTCGACGTTACAGATAGGCATGTGTGGCAACAAGTGCTCATGCTTCACTATCTCTGGATGTAAATGCGCATATGTGCCGCATATGCAGCATATGCATATAGAATCATATATATATATATACATAGTTATATATATATATGCAGGCTATGTGGTTGGTGTGACGTTGCTACCTGGGTTAGTGCTTCATGACAATGAAACGGACATGGCACATCTTCCGTTGCCCTGTCTTACTGGATTTTCAACGCCAATGACCCACTTATATAAACAAGCCCAGCAATGTGGATTGCAACTCCGAACAGTACTGAGTTTTTTTTTTCATTATATTATATACTCTAATTTCGATCGTTCATATTTTTGTTTTATATGACTATAGCATTATAGAAGCGTATATGTAACTAATTGTAACTATATAAGTTATCTATAAATGCATATGAATCAGCAATAAACAGCCACTGATCCGTGGAGGACAAGGAGCTCTACTCGCAGTTCAAGGCGCTGTTGCCTGATCTCGACGAGGCGCAACCGGGACCCTTCAGTAAACTAACAGCCCGCATCTATATTAGTTGACCCTATTGGTAGCAATAGTACAACTATTATATAAAAGTTATAAGTATGAAAACACCAATTTTTGAGGAGTTGATCATTTTGATCAACTCTTCTCCATGAGGATTTAGCCCCAAGAAAATGTACACAATGAAATGACCTTGTCCCTAGCTGGTAAGCTAGTAGTTGCAGGGATTGACGAATATTCTTTAGGGTTTAAACCAACGACCAGATACACATCCTTTGTTTGATCATCAAAATGTCAGATTGGAAGTGTCTTCCTTCATTCATCAACAAATTTATTGTGCAATATATGTATATATAGATAGATCGATCTCGTGGATCATTATTTTCTATCGTCACGCGATTTCCCAGAAGTGGAGGAAGGGATGAAGGGGACATGTTTGTGAAACCTGTAAAAGTTGCTGATAAACATGATTCTTTTCCTCTTTCCTCCTTACACAAGCCAATTCAACATGCATCATGTATGATGTATTCACCTATCATTTTGGGCCGAAATGTTGGTTGATGGATGTTGAAGGTAAGAGATATAGGACCCCACTGGCTGGTCAATCAATCTACACCCATGGTTTCAACCGTAATCGGTCCTTCAAACCAACCCCAGTGAGAACCATGTGGACCACAGATTATTGCCGACTTACATGTGGAATATGTTTCGAATATCGTAGCTCATCAGTTATGGATTCTATGGGTTTTCAACCACGATGCCTGGATGTTTTGCACCTCTAGATCCTCTAGTGGGCCCAAACCCCAGCCACGTTTGCCGCTGGCCAGGATGACATCCATCCCATCCCAAGTGAGGGACAGAAGAAGAGTAAATCACTCCGAAGCTTTGAGCTGCAGCAGGTTTTTTTTGTTGTGACAGGTTGGTGTCTGAAAATGGACTGTACAAGCAGCATGATTCTGCATGGTGAGACCCCCCCATTTTTTGTTGTATGAACAATGCGCTCTATTGTTGGATAACCATCGGCATTTATAAGGTTGTTGATAAATACGTATAATTGTGATATAAGCAATAGCAAGAATTGCCTGGACAATCATGCGGTATTTAGTCAACAATTTCTGCATGGTGATAAGATGATGATTTAATATTATATAACATGAAATGGAGATATTGATGAAGTATGTGCAATATAGGGTTTAGCGATCAACAGTATATAATTAGGGTGAGTAATATACAGTCGGGCATAAACCACTGAGATCATATATGAGGGTATTTAATGGTATTTATATAACAAACAAGATGATGTTGAGTCTGTTTGAAATGGTGTATATATATTCCCCGCAAATTGCAATTTTACTGGATTCAGGGGTGCTCAATTTTCAGACAAACCAAACTGTTGGTGAATGGTTTGGAAATGGGTTGTTACATCGTCGGCCCATCAGAAGTTTGTTTATTTTACTCATCCAACTGGAGATATATAAATCCTCCACAAACCAGTCCGTTAGCTTAGTCATAAACATCATAAGCCAAGTGATTAATCTTCCAGGCACGTTGGGATTATTGGACGTCACGTCCGTTTATTTCTGGGCGGCGGGGTCCAACTGGATACAAAAAACGATCGGAAAATCACCAAACTAAATGGCGAGTTTTCACGCGGATTAATCAAAACATTTTTGTTTGGGTACACATAGGTATGCAAAGCTTGCAGAAAATGAACCTTATATCAATGGGAAATCCAGGATCCTAAAATGGAAGTACTGTACCATATAGGGCCATATTTTGTGGGGATATTAGGTTCCTGAAATGGCCATTGATTATACTCGAAGTCACCTGTGCCTCAGTCGACATCCTTACCAAAGGGTCAGCGTGATACGGTGTGGGTAGCCCCGTAGGGCTCCGCTACCATGATAAATTCTAGAAACCCTAGATTCCGAAGACGTCAATCAAGACCCACGATCGAAGAAGGTTTCAACATGTTTTAACCCTCCACTCCTAAGTGCAAACGCCAGCTTCAATCTTTTTCGCTCGGACGCAACACGAAGGAAACAAAATGGAAACAAACACGGGACACACCCGAAAGACTCCAGGTCCCTAAGATTCAATGTCCTGCTGACTGTGAAACTACGGTTCTTTTCAGTTCTGAACTTCCGACACTAAAGCTCTCTTGAGCCAATGGCCAAACTACAGTAGGCAACGCGATTCCAAGTTGAAGTTATCAGGCTGATGCCCTCTCAGGTCCCAATCCCTATATAATCTCCCATATCACGGGCAGTTTGGACTTCAGAATCGACATTTCTCCGGATAACAATGACCCAGTCAGAGTATGTCAGAGTCAGATATTGTTATATACCGTGGTTTGTTCAGCAGTAAAACCTCAACTTGGCTTTTGCTGGTTGAATTCACCCATTGCCACGACCGCTGTGTTAGAGAGGCCGTTTTGATCAGTGGAAGATGCTTTGTCCCTCAGGATGAACATGGAATTCATGAAAATCATTCCTACTGAGTCCTACTGTCTCAGAATTGGATGATGCGAGAATCAATACCCCCTAAATTTGATTGTAACAAGCACTGTTTCCTAAAGATGTTTGCTTAAACCGTTTTACAATGTTTTATAGATAATGGAAACTGGATGGAAATGGCAAGTTCTGTTAAACTAGCCTCGCTGCAAGATTCCTGCCGCATCACTGAGGCGCACTTCATGCTTGAACGACCTTCATTTCTCCGTGAGAGACTCCATCGATTCACCCTCTAGCGGGCATCAACCGGAGTTGAAGAAAGATCGGTTATTCCACCGACAGGTGCGTATCTATACATGCGAACAACATCGAATAATAATTTACCATTGTTACCATTACCTATCTTACATTGTGATACCACCAGCCACCTTTGGAAATTGGAGTCTTGTTACAGTCTTGTGAATGTCGTATAGGCCTTTCCCATAAAATGTTGTACTCGGGGGTGGAATGACCCAGCATTTTTCAAGAGATCCAGCCTCCTACATACCAAAAGGACTGATAACTCAGTTGTTACATGTTGTTACTGTACATGCTTTATGGGCCCCAAGCTTTTGGTTTCTGATAATTCTGGGATCGGGGGTCTACAACCAATACCAATACTGTACACTGTACATACAACCAATACTGTAACCCAATGTCAACCCCATGATGGACCTGGAAGTCAACGATGATAACGATGCAATTCGGCTCCGGGCGTCCCATTCTGCCAGTTCCAAGTGCCAGTTTTCGCTGTTGCATCAAAAGGTCACCCCCTCACAAAACAATGCCTTAATATGCTAAATTACTAGATAATGTCTGATTCACCCCCATCAACCCCAACAATAGGGGCTTAGGTCCGTACGGTCGGTTTGGGATTTGCCACTGGGGAGTCTATAAACGTCAACTGTTGAAGTTGGAAAATCTGAGTTTGTATGGAAACAACACATGCAAAAACACATATATACGGTATATCATCATTCATACATGTAGATAAGTTGTCACTCAGTCATGAGTCATGACAGGGTTTCCATGTAGAGACTAGTTGTTGTTGTTGTTGATCTGATGTGTATCAGATTGGCAGACCAGCGCTGTGACCTGCTACAACAGTTTTTGAGGTCCTTGGCCCATTGGTTGTCTTACTTTTGATCCCACTAATCCATTCTTCTTTATGATGCTTCGGATGTCCCCTATCTTAATTAATGTTTGCATCTGATTAGTGTGAGGGCCCCCCCCCCCCAAACAATTTGAGGATACTCTATAACTCGCACTTTTTTTTGCCCCCCCTCAACATTTTTTTGGTCAATCAAATTAAGAAAGGATTTCAATTTACTTTCAATTGATTTCCATTTACTTTCAATTGATTTCAATTTACTTTAATTAATTAATTTACTTTCAATTGATTTCAATTTACTTTTAATTTACTTTCAATTGATTTCAATTTACTTTCAATTTACTTTCAAGTTACTTTTAATTTACTTTCAATTGATTTCAATTTACTTTCAATTGATTTCAATTTACTTTCAATTGATTTCAATTTACTTTTAATTTACTTTCAATTGATTTCAATTTACTTTCAATTGATTTCAATTTACAATTTACTTTCAATTTACTTTCAATTGATTTCAATTTACTTTTAATTTACTTTCAATTTACTTTCAATTGATTTCAATTTACTTTCAATTGATTTCAATTTACTTTCAATTGATTTCAATTTACTTTTAATTTACTTTCAATTGATTTCAATTTACTTTCAATTGATTTCAATTTACTTTTAATTTACTTTCAATTGATTTCAATTTACTTGCAATTGATTTCAATTTACTTTTACTTTACTTTCAATTTACTTTCAATTGATTTCAATTTACTTTTAATTTACTTTTATTTTTTTTTCACTCCCAAAAGTTGGTGCTCACAATAGAGTACCATCCAAACAATTATATTATTGAGTAACTGAGCCACTCATGAGGTACCCCCTTGAAAAATTGTCTGAGTGCTGTTTTTTAATAAGGGTTTAATAAGGCATCTAATTATTTGGAAAACCTTGCATTTTAAAGCTTTAACACAAATATAGCTTTCTAAAGTAAAGGCACCAGCTTTACCCAAAGAAAGGTGGAGAAAGGGTTTTTTTTTTTTCACTCCCAAAAGTTGGTGCTCACAATAGAGTACCATCCAAACAATTATATTATTGAGTAACTGAGCCAATCATGAGGTATCCCCTTGAAAAATTGTCTGGGTGCTGTTTTTTAATAAGGGTTTAATAAGGCATCTAATTATTTGGAAAACCTTACATTTTAAAGCTTTAACACAAATATGGCTTTCTAAAGTAAAGGCACCAGATTTACTCAAAGAAAGGTGGAGAAAGGGTTTTGTTTTTTTTTATCACTCCCAAAAGTTGGTGCTCACAATAGAGTACCATCCAAACAATTATATTATTGAGTAACTGAGCCAATCATGAGGTATCCCCTTGAAAAATTGTCTGGGTGCTGTTTTTTAATAAGGATTTAATAAGGCATCTAATTATTTGGAAAACCTTGCATTTTAGTTTTAACACAACTATGGCTTTCTAAAGTGAAAGGACCAGCTTTACCCAAAGAAAGGTGGAGAAAGGGTTTTGTTTTTTTTTCAATCCCAAAAGTTGGTGCTCACAATAGAGTACCATCCAAACAATTATATTATTGAGTAACTGAGCCAATCATGAGGTACCCCTTTGAAAAATTGTCTGGATGCTGTTTTTTAATAAGAGTTTAATAAGGCATTTAAAATAAAATTAAAAATTTAATAAACATAAATAATTAGAAAACATATTTTTTTTAAAAAAGTTAAAGCATTTGGAAAAAGAAAATGAAAAAAAAATCTGGAAAAAAATCTCATCTGGAAAAAAATCTCACAATAGAGTTCCCCCCCAACAATTTGCATGTGACTGAATTAGGAGCAAGAAAGTTCTCACAATAGGGTACCAGGACACTAATCGGGTGCAAACATTAATGGTGTTTGATTCATGTGATATCCCCTATCTTACTGCTGTTGGTGGCGTTCCCCGAATTCTTTGGACAAACCCGTTTGCAGTGTCCACAACATTATTTGCATGTGGCTGGGTCGAAGCATTCTTTGGGCATAGGAACTGCAACGTCTCACCCCTGGTGTTTTGCTGGAGAGGGGGTTACATGCGTTGAACTGGTCAAAGTCTACCAGTTGGACGAAAGGGTGTGGTATGTGGGCCTATTCAGGTTTTTTTCGAATGAGGTGGGTTCAAGAATGTTGAAGATTACTCGCTGGTAAATTAACATAGACCCTGAAGATAACATATTTTTGGTGGAAACCAATCTTCCACCCCCAATCTGGCAGGGTCTATGTTAATTTGCTGGAGAGTATCTGAAATTAAAGTTGAAAGTGCTGATCCCAAGTGACAAGCTTAATTTTGGAGATGTGTTGAAAGCACCAGATGATCATTGAGAATCATTGGGGATCGTTGCGGATCATTGAGGATCAAAAAGTATCATTAGAAAAATATCAGAAACACACACACATATATATATATACATATATATATATATTCATAAATGACAATGCATCAGCAGGTTTGTTGTTTGGTTGCTGTTGCTGTTGCTGTCTTTTCTTCAGCGCAGCTCCGCTCCTTTGCTGGCTATCACTTGCCCACCGTAGAAAACCCCAAGCTGAGTTCAGTGTAGAAAAGCCAATCGGGTTGACGATGGTCAGCTGAAGCTTTTGCCAGACCATTGGAGGCCTCGGAGTCAGGCATCCAAGTGAAATAGCGCGGATTGCACCACACATCAGCTCAGGAGACCCATGTTTGCCAACATGCAACGTTTTTTATGGGTTTCACAAGCCCATATCGATGATATTCCTTTCCTCACCTATGATACCTATGTAATTAGTCCCAGTATGCCCTTCATCCGTTGTCAGTTGTCTTTTTTTGGGCCTTGGACCCAAGACATATCCCAGGTGCAGCAGTGGTTTGGGCTTGGGGTTTTGGAATCCCAGTAGGCCCTCATCACGAAAACCAAAAATATTGGTGAAGCATTAGCTGAAGTTCAATAGAAATTTAGTCACCCATACAGCCCATGGGTCACCCACACAGCCCATGGGTCACCCACACAGCCCATCTTATGTAACTTATGTTGCTGACGGATTTGTTTGGGCAGATGCTCATACTGATGTCGCACATGGACCGGTTGGTGCTTTGACCTATGTCTTTGATTGTCCATCCGTAGGATGATCCCAAAAATTGACGTATTTCCGGCCGGGATGGTTGAAAGCACCAAGCACTTGGTAAAGATTCAAGATACTGCTGCTTAGATGGGCCATAAGATTAGTTAGTTGGTTTGTGGTTCGTTAGTTATAGTTCGAAGATGTTTGAAGCCACCCTGTACCCTGTTATATTCAGTCATAAGGGTCACTATCCAATTGAATCATTTCAATCAGTCAAACCCCCATTTTGCATTATATACTTTAAAGTTGGACGCTGATTAGTGTAGGGCCCCCCCCCAAACAAATTGAGTACTCTGAATAACCCGCCATTTTTTTGGCGACCAGGTCTGGGGGACTCAGGATGATCAACTTAAGTAAGGGTTTCTCTTGAAATCCATCTACTTTCAATTGAACTCAATTGACTTTCAATTCATTTGAATCTACTTTCAATTGATTTTCCTTTTAAACCTCAAATGTCAAAGAAATTTATTGATAGAAAGGAATTCAATTGAAATCAATTTTCTCTCAATTCATTTGAATCTACGTTTAATTGATTTTCCGTTTGCATAAATCAAAAAAAACACCCCAAGTTTTTGTGCACAATAGGGTACCATCCAAAAAATGACATTATTGAGGATCTCGGTCACTCATGGGGTACCCCTTGAAAAATTGTTTGGGTGCTGTTTTTTGATAAGGGTTTGACAATGCATCTAATTATTTGGGATACCTTGCATTTTCAAGGCTTTAACATGGATATGGCTTTCTAAAGTAATGCCAACACCGGATTAATAACCCCCCCCCCCAGAAGGTAGGGGGGGTACCTTCTGGCTAGTTTTCTTGACCACCCCTAAATAAACGCACCCTGAACCATAAAATTCTGAACCATAAAACTTTGGATATGGCTTACGTCAATTAGATCTTAATAGAATTCCATTGGATTTGTTAAAATCTCATGGATCAGAAAGGGGGTTGATTAATCAGGGGCAAACCGTGGTTATTATTAATGGGGGACATGGGCTCATGGGGGGTACCCTTTGTGAGCTATCCAAACTGATGATTTTCATAAAGATTTTAATTAGAAATCGATCATTTGGGGAATAGTTGTTTTTTGAAATTTTCAATGATCAACTTAAACCTTAAGTATAACAATGATGATGAAAACAAGTAAAAAAGAATTGGAAATAAAAGGAATTGGAAATAAAACATGATGGATAAAAAAATGGATTTCAGAATTGGTGGTTGATTAATCGGGGGTAGGTGTTTATTAATCTGGGGGGACCACCTGTTTTTAAATTACATTTTTTTTTTGGCAGTTGCTGTTGATTAATCGGGGGGGCATTATTAATCCTCACTTGACATTAAATGGACCAGCTTTACCCACAGAAAGGTGTATAAAGCTCCTCCTGTAAAAATGGATCTGAGAAAACAAATCTCAGAAAGAGAGAGCCCCACCCCCAACAAACGGCAGGATACTGATTTATAATGAAAACAAAAATAAAGAAACACAATAGGATACCAGGACACTAATCGGCGTCCAACATTATCCCATATTGATATTGATATTTTGGTTTGATACTGCGTATATACACACCCATATTCTTATTTATACATATATACGCATATGTACCCCCCCATGATTTACCTCCCAAGTACTTCGTGGTTTACCATTTTTCCTCGCACCATTTTGTTTCGCTCAGGTGGTGAAGCTTTGTCAGGTGGTTGGCGTCTTCCCGGGCGCACGCATGAACGACGGAACGGAGGAAGTTCTGGAGGGCGGATCGATGGACAAGTAATCATCGAATTTGGGGTTGAACTATCCCGAAAAATGGGGCCATATAGCCTAGAGGCCGCCGCCATGACTGGGCCCCCAGAATGAGGTGATCCATTGCAATATTGCACCCAGGTTTCAGTTTGGGAGGTATGTAATATTGGGGGTGCGAAGTGAAGAGACTACTTTCATCTTAAGCCAGGCATTGCATGGGAATATCTTCTAACCAGAATCCAACAAAATGCAGGGTGTCTAAGAGAAGCCATGCAGAGAGAACAGGCGATGCGCCCATCCCAACCTTTTTCCGGCTACAACTTGTGTGTGTGTGAGAGTAACTTTGATAAATAGTCATTAAAAGATCATAAAGATCTCAAGGGGAGGGTGGATAATACAACACAATGGATTTGGAATCCCATCCCCCATCCGGTGCCTTTTTGTATTTTTGCAACATGCCAAAAAAACTGACCGTGGAGATATGCTAAGAACAAGACAGTAAATTATTGCGATGGAAAATAGGGGGCTTGCCGGGCTTGCCCAAGGTTGGTGGACGTAACACTTTGCACATGTAAAATCCCCACACGTGGAGCAAGTTTGATGTTGAACGGGCCCAAGCCTGCACGGAGCACCTTTGAACCCGTGGCTGACATGGCTCTGAAAGCTGCACTAATCACTTAAAAGACTGGGATGCTGTTGAAATATGTTGAAATCTGTTTAAATGCAAGGTCTAGTTCTGCATATGTGTTTTTTCTTTTTTTCCCACGTGTTGATTTATGTCTTTTAATGTTTCGAACAGCACGTTTCAACCAGATATGTGTGGTCCCAAGCATGTTGGCTCGCCAAAGATTTTAGTGCCTTGGCTCACCTTTCATGGCAAGGAAGAGCTGGATGTGGATGTCGAGATGTTGAACTGGGAGGCCGTTGTGCATTGTTTGTGGTTCCTCACCACCTGAAATTGGACAGGGAACAGACCAAAAAAGGGTACCCTCCGGTAACCAAATGTGTTTATAATATTTTATAAGTGGGTGAAATTTCAAACGCCGTGTTTGCTTACTGGAAGGGCAAAAGCATTTTCTGACCAGGAGAAGGTTGTTGTTTCATGCTTTTCGAATGTTTGCATACGAATCATCCATCATTGTCATCCTTTCAAGTTCCTTGTAGCCAGCCATCTAGCACTGGGTGCCCAAGGTACTGTAAATGAAACACCATGTTTTCTGGATGTGCCATCGACGACAACACTGGGACGGTCACTGAAGTGACTTCAGATTCAACGCTTAATCCCAGGCCGATATCCCCCAATTCCATCCAATTCCAATTCCATCCAATTCTATCCAATTCGATCCAATTCCTACTGAAAGAGGATCATTCCCATATATTCCCATTCTTTAAGAATCTTTCAGAAGGCAGGGCCATGCTTCGTTATTTTTTCACCACCCCCGGCTCCGGGTCGTCACGGCGCGGCGCCGATGAGGACTGTGCTCAGCACCTGACGCCCCGAGTTGAGAAGACCTGGCGACAGCTCTACTCTCAGTGCCCTTGGCTGCCAATCGGGGGTCGCACTGGTACAACAAACTGAGAAACTGATTGAGAGAAATGGTGGTATCAACCATGATCAACCAAGGTGAAACCACCAACATCTGATTGGTCTCCTAAAAATGGAAGATATCCTTTTGGAAAATTATGAATGGTAGTGATTTAACATCAGTTTATTTAAGTTAAACTTAAGCATCAAAACTGGAATATGCGGGATTTTCCTAACCTCTGAAATCATTCAGTATTGGTCATTTTTCAAGGAGAAGCCCATGATGGTGCCATTTTGGCAGACCAAGTTCACGTCTGGCTGGAAAATCCCAGCTTTCATTGATTTTCCACTGCCAGATTAGACTACTGCATGGTATATTTGCCTATAACCACTATATGTATATATATATATACACATGTTGCATATGTATACTAGATGTGACAGTGGAGGGTTTGTTGGCAAGTGAAATTGGGGCGAATTCGATTGAATCTTAGTGCCATGTGAAAATTATGTACAATGAGCCCTTGAGTAGTTCATATGTTTCACTGCCATACGTCACAATGGTGCTCACAGGTGTAGCTCTGCTCCCCTCCTGTCCGCAGCAGATTGATGTACATAAGTACTGTGCTAACCCCCCGGTATTCACAAGTAGGCTGCAGGGTGGAAGGTACGACTCACAAAGCAAATGACAATCGGATGTGTTTCCCTTCCGTCGGGCTGCAGATTGACTGGTTGACCCATCATTTTTTCCAGTATGTTTGATGCCAGCGGACCCCTCCGATTTTGTCAGACATCCACGGCTAGCTGGGCAGGAAGTATCGCAGTGTGTTGGATTTGGTGAGCAAGAAGGCCAAGCGAAAAAGACAACTGTGGACGGATTGCTGGAGAACCAGCCATTTTGGTCCCAGTTGCGTTGGTTTTGTTAGGGTATTGAAAGTTTCATGTTTGTTCAACACCTACAGTAGTTATCAATTCCAATGCCCAAATTTCACCATGTGTTTTATCATTAAAAACTGCGGCCGATGTAGGTTGCAGACTGCATTCTGAATGTATTTGGCCACCAGTTGGCGTGAGCAGAGGCACAAGCAGAGTCCCCTTCGAGCCAGGCAGATCATTCTGTCCTCCGGTTGCTTCAAATCTCCCAGCAGCATATTGAGAGCCAGCCGAGGGGCCCGGCTGGAATGGAGCATTCGTCTATTTTGCATGAAGCATCCTGAAGCATCCTGAGGCATAGGCATCCAAAAAAAGCTATGGATCAGACGAAGCACGAATACGGATCACTAAAAACAATAACAAGAGAAGGAAGGAAGGAAAGAAGGAAGGAAGGACAAATTCATGGAATATTCAATGAGAACCATCGGACAAAAATAAGCAAACGTGGAAAAATGGATAAACCATGATAAACCATCCAGAAATCGATAACCATGGAAAGAACATTTAAACCACCGAGAAAAAAAAACAAATCGGTGAAAACCAGCAAAACATCTATGAGCACCTTGGAAAAACCGATGAACAAGTGCAAATGCACGATATTTATATTTTAGCTCCAAAATGCACCAAATAGCAAGGAAAAGTGCCCCAAGTTCTTCTCATGCTTTTCGTCCTTTAACCAAAGGTTCGTTTCCAAATGATGCCATTCCAGGCATTTCTGCAACACATGCAATGACTATACATTCAGTTCATGTTAATATTTTTGTTGATCCCTATTATATACTATTTATTCCCCACCTGCCAGGTGAGGGTTGTTAGATTTTATCAGAGCTGTTGACCTCCTCCTCCTCCACCTCCTCCACCTCCTCCTCCTCCTCCTGCGCCTCCTCCTCCAGTTTCTCCTCGACCATGTCTGCATCAACTTCCACGTCCACTTCCGCCTTGCCAACTCTTCGCCAATCTCTTTGCCAACTTCCATGGCAGTGGGCACTGCTGGACCTCAACCCAACTCTTCGCCAATCTCTTCGCCAACTTCCGCGCGCAGTGGGCACCGCTGGACCTCAACCTGGGACCTCCGGAACTCAGTGGGCACCGCTGGACCTCAACCTGGGACCCTCCGAGCTCAGTGGGCACTGCTGGACCTCAACCTGGGACCCTCCGAGCTCAGTGGGCACTGCTGGACCTCAACGGCCAGATAGAATGCCAGAAGATATGCCACATAGAACGCCAGATAGAATGTCAGATAGAATGCCAGAAGATATGCCAGATAAAGTGCCAGAATGCTTGCCAGATAGAATGCCAGAAGATATGCCAGATAGAATGCCAGAAGGTATGCCAGACAGAATGTCAGATAGAATGCCAGAAGGTATGCCAGATAGAATGCCAGAAGGTATGCCAGATAAAGTGCCAGAATGTTTGCCAGAACATATGCCAGAAGATTTGCCGGATAGAATGCCAGATAGAATGTCAGAAGATATGCCAGAAGATATGCCAGAACATATTGCAGAAGATATGCCAGGTAGAATGCCAGAAGATATGCCAGATTGAATGCCACAAGATTTGCCAGATAAATTGCCAGAAGATATGTCAGATAGAATGCCAGAAGATTTGCCAGTAACAAAACGTATAGATGTCATGGTGGGGATAACTCGAAGTAAAGTAATTTATGTTTATTTTGGATCCAGCGTATCCAGCGTACGCACGTCGCAACCTCTTCCCTCTCCACCTGTAACATGTAGTTTCCCTTATTTTGCTTGATCACTACTTGTACTTGTTTTGATCCCTCTTAGATTAGTTTTTTGTGATCCCTAAGCATGTTGTTTTTTCTCCCTCTGCCAGGAACTGCTTCCATTTCCGCAAAATATTTGTTCCTCGCAGAAACAGAGTATTGAAATGCATTGAATCTATTAATTTTGGGTTCATTTCAGCAGCTTGGGTAACAAATTTCCTGAGGCTGGATCGTGTCAGACAAGAAAGGGAGCTCATGAAAGAGGCAAGAATTCACCAGAAATTAGCATGGAACCAGGTCAACCAGCCCGCAATAACTGATTTGTTTTTTTTGCACTGTTTTCATTGGCACTCAATACGTTTGTCATGGCTTAACAGCCATCTACACATTCCTTCATCATGTGGCAGTTGCTTCATCATGCGGCAGTTGCAGAGGGCGTTGCTTATGACTTTAGCGTTTCTGGTATTTCTTCCCAAGAAAGCCATTGGTACACGTTGTTTATTGCCTCTACACCACCGTACAACCACGGATTCTACTCAAGTCCTGATTTTCCACTTGAATATTGCCTGAACAAGTTTGCTGTTCAGAAGTTATACATATGAAATTTGTTTTCTTTTGATCGAGCCCAAATCCAGATGTTCCATGATTTTCCATGCAACCATCAGAGGATCCTTTTGTCTTAATCATCCCAGTGGTATGCACCCAATAATGCTTCCCAATTGGGGATGGTCTGCTCTCCCATCAGTGCACAGGTGCTCGAGCGACGTGCGCAAGCACCCATGATGACCCTCCCCTTGAAGGATCCTAACACTGGGATGCCACTGCAAGGCGCAGACACCGGAAACAAAAATGACCGGGTCTGCATGAGCATTGAACAAACGGTTTTGTCTGAGAATGGGGTATATGCACCCAAACTCAAACAAATGGCAATTTTTATATACGGGGTAAGATGATAATGAATCATTGGATTTGGGGCACGCGATTGTAAGAGAAACCCACATGAAACAATTCGTTACCATGGTGGAATACCGTGGCATACTGCCCCACCTCTCAGCACATCCCATGTGTAACGAAGCTGGAGGCCACACTATGATGGGACGGTTTTCTGATGAAAGTTGGGCTCTGCCTGGTTTCCCTTTATGGCATGCTAGCGCAGTCAGCCTGCAATATATTTGCTATGAACTTATATAATATATTACCATCACCATTCCTCGGTCAATCAGCAATTGTTCGATGAAATTTATGAAGACAGTAGTCTTCGATCCCCCCCATCTACGTTGCCAGGATGGTAATTCTTCAGCGACCATACCATGAACATCCCAGAAATTCATTTCTTTGATGAACCTTTCTGGCCCAGTTGCACAAGGTGTTCCCGGTTGGCCTCCACCCTTTGCAGGACACGGCATGGGACCTGTCATGGTGGATTTCTTGTCGTGTGTCTTTAAATACATATATTATATTGAATATTGTTTTACCAAAACAATCATGTCTAGCCAACCTTGATGCTAATCCACAATGATTGAATATTAAGAATTATATATCTAATTTAAGATATATTTATGGGTCTTTGTTTTTTTTTGCCATCCAGTGTGTTCTGTCATTCTATCTAGAACCAATTCAGCAATGCCCTCAAAACACTTGCACCTGTTGGGTTGATAATGGCAGATGGGCATGGGCTCACAATCGCGAATCTATTGGTTCAATGGCAACTTGGAAGAAACTAACATGAATCAGTTGGTGATGAGAAAAGCTGAGGTGACCCCATTTGAGATGAAGCGACTTTGTCTTAATCGAACGGGTTTGGCCGTAGACCTACCCATATGATCCATCATAACTCCATATCAAAGCAACTCCCAAATAGAACAGTGGGAAACCTGGAAATATAAAGTAAATACTGGAAACGATTTTCTATCTTTTTGGGGCTTCCTATATCACCTATAGCCTATATATTAACCCCATACCTAGACAGTCACGACAACGCGGTCCAGGATTTGGCGTTCCGATGGCGCCTCCAGATGCCGGGAGACATGTTTTTTTTTTTGGGGAGTGAGCAATAAACATGGGTAAACAGTGGTAAACATGGGTAAACTGGGCAATAAAGTTCCAGGATGGTCCGGTGATGTGAAAATTCAACAAAATTAGTGTAAAACAATGTTTTCTACTGTCTAATTTTTTGGTTGCCACATGTCAAGCCTGGAGTTTTATTCACCCCTACTTAGTGACTCACTCCAGGTAGTAAGCGGATTATGAGCCCAATTGCAAGTAGGGCCCGCAGGCATAGCCCACTTGTAGCTGCGGTTAACCCACAAACTAAGTAGGGTGAACCATCCAGTAGCAGGCTCTTGGCCCCTTATGTGGGGCTTCCCAAGAACCAGGGTTTCCTGTGAGTGGCATTGGAATCTTACAGGAATGAGTATGCAGATGCATACTCTCTGTGGAACTTGCCAGTCCGTTTTTGTTGCTGAAGTTGGTAGCCTCCTGGAAGGCTATCGATGGCTATTGTAGAGTTTACTGGGATGTGGCTCACAGCCACAGTCACCTGTAGTGATGCAATGTTCGCCATAGATTGAACATTGTCTCAACTCACCAACTACCCAAATGATGATCTCACTATATTCTATACAATATATATATATAATTATATATATATATATATATTTGAATACGGGATACCAGTCATAGCATGTCATTACAATATTACCAGTCGTTTATATCATGCACTTACATAATGGGTTACAATATGATATGTTAAATCTATTTGAATCTCTCTCTATATATATATGGTCCCGTCCTCCGTCTCTCCACCCCCCCCCCCCATGGGTTGGGTCCCCAGGTAGTAGCCCCAATTCCCTTCTATTTGCAAGCTATTGGCAGCATTTCTGAGGTCCAGCGTCGTATTTGCTAGGTCTTTGCAGCATTTCTGACTACCAGCCTCGCATTTACTAGGTACATGCTACCTTTTAGGCGACCTACGTAGCACACATACTCCTTCAAAGTACCTACGTGCTACCTATAGTCATACATACATGTGCTATGTATCTACTGTATCTACTTCCTGTTTACTACCTGTGTACTCTGACAACACTACCTCTGTTGAACATATACCGTACCTACCATACATGTCAATGATGCCATGCATACCATACCTATCATATCTATCATACATACCATACATACCATACATATGAAATGTAATTACCACACCTACCATACATACAATAGCATACATACAATAGCAAGCATACATGCCATACATACCATACCTACCTTAGATAGGACATATTCCATACCCATCATAGTAACCATACATACCATACAGACCATACATACTGTCATATCAAACATACCATATCCAACAGACTTACATACCATACCTACCATCCATACAATACCAACCACTCATGCCATACATACCATACCTACCATACATACCAAACATACCATACTTTCCAAACATGCCATACCAGACCGACCATACACACCATACATACCCACCATACCATACCACACCCCCACCACACCACAGGGGGGGGAGGGGGACAGTGCCACACCCCCACCACACCACAGGGGGGGAGGGGGAAGATCTCATATGGGACCAGTATATGGGACCCATCCACCACACCACAGGGGGGGGAGGGGGACAGTGCCACACCCCCACCACACCACAGGGGGGGGAGGGGGAAGATCTCATATGGGACCAGTATATGGGACCCATCCACCACACCACAGGGGGGGGAGGGGGACAGTGCCACACCCCCACCACACCACAGGGGGGGAGGGGGAAGATCTCATATGGGACCAGTATATGGGACCCATCCCATATGGGGGGGGGAGGGGGGGGTGGCAGGGCCTGGTGCATATATACTTCTTCCATATTAATAGTTCATTATCTATATCCATATGCCATAGTACATGGCTGGAATTATCCTGGATGATTCCAGTGGTCCAGGGCAACGACACGGCCCCCAAACCACCCGCCAAGCGCCTGGTTGGCTTCTCAACCGTGGCTGTGGGGGGCCAGGGCTGTTATGGCGATGATATGTGGTTAGTATGGTTAGTACTAGTTATGAATGGTTGATGATGGCTATTGATTATTATTATTAGTGGTTGATGATGATGATGATGATGGTGATGGTGATGATGGTGATGGTGATGATGATGGCAGGGCTGATCGTGCGGGCAGCAGTGTTTGCAGTCATTGTAGTTTACAATGGACAAGATGTGTAGGAATGCATCCATTGCCGCTGTAATTAAAAGGTCTATGATTGAATCAATGGATCATGGTATCATATGATATCATAATATTATATATATATATCATTTGACCTCCCGCAGCCATGCACTTCATTATTGTGTGCAGGAGGCAAAGGTCGGAAAGACATGACATCAGCAGCTGGTTCAGCAGTTCTCGGCTATTGAACATGAATGAAAGCAAACAGGGCTTGTTTCTTTTGAAGCCTTTCCGCAGAAAGGCCAGCCTTTGACACATGCATACACGTGTATCAAATTGTATAGATATGTACCTCACACACATGCAGTAAATACGTAAATAAATAAATAAATAAATAAGAATAAGGATATAAATGATATGTACATATATTTAGATATGATTAGTGCATGTATATATCCTTGAAAAAGAATTGGGACCAGCCGCCCTGCCATAGCTCACTACCGCTCATTGCTGTCAAGCATTGCTTTTTCGAGTTCTTTGGCGTCCCCAGCCATGGTTGCTATGGCAGCTACGGCCAGCTATTTGCAATGCATCGGCTTGATTTTCTTTTGGAGTTTCCTGTCACAAGATTTAGGTGCCTTTGACATATACGATATATGTATGTCTATATGGTGCTCAAAGGCTTGTCAATTAGATCTTCTCAGAATTCCATTGGATTTGATAAGATTTGATTTTTAAAATCTCCTGGATCCCATAAGATTCCAATGGACTTGATGAGATTTGATTGTTAAAATAACATGGGTTTCATAAGAATCCACTGGATTTGATGGAATTTGATTGTTAAAATTTCATGGAACCCATAAGATTCCATTGGATTTGATGGGGTTCGATCGTTTAAAAAGCATGGATCCCATAAGATTCCAGTGGATTTAATGAGATTTGATTGCTAAAATCTCATGCATCCCATAAGATTTCAATGGACTTGAATAAACTTGAATGCTAAGACTTCATGGGTCCCATTTGGTTCCATTGGATTTGATGAGATTTCATTGCTAAAATCTCATGGGTCCCAGAAGATTCCATTGGGCTTGATGGAATTCGATTGCTAAAATCCTCTGGACCCCATAAGAGTCCATTGGGTTTGATGATGTGGTTGCTAAAATCTCATGGGCCCCATCAGGTTCCATTTGGTTTGATGAGATTTGATTGCTAAAATCTCATGGGTCCCATAAGATTCTATTGGATTTGGTGAGGTTTGACTGTTAAAATCTCCTGGTCCCATAGGATTTCACTGGATTTGATGGAATTTGATTGTTAAAATCACATGGATCTCATAAGATTCCAGTGGGTTTGATGGGATTTGATTGTTAAAACTTCATGGACCCCATAAGATTCCATTGGGTTTGATGAGATTTAATTGCTAAAATTTCATGGACCCCATAAGATTCCATTCGGTTTGATGAGATTAGATTGCTAAAATCTCATGGATCACATCAGATTCCAGTGCATTTGATGGGGTTTGATTGCTAAAAGCTCATGGGTCCCACATGATTCTATAGGATTTGGTGAGGTTTGATTGCTAAAACTTCATGGGTCCCATAAGATTCCATTGGATTTGATGAGGTTTGATTGCTAAAATCTCATGGGTCTCATCAGATTCCAGTGGATTTGATGAGGTTTGATTGCTAAAACTTCATGGATCCCATAAGATTCCATTGGATTTGATGAGGTTTGGTTGCTAAAATTTTCTGGATCCCATAAGTCTCATAAGATTCCATTTGGTTTGATGAGATTTGATTGCTAAAATCTCATGGATCCCGTCAGATTCCAGTGGATTTGATGAGGTTTGATTGCTAAGACTTCATGGGTCCCAGATGATTCCATTGGGTTTGATGGAATTTGATTGCTAAATAAAATCCATTGGATCCCTTAAGATTCCAGTGGATTTGATGAGGTTTGATTGCTAAAACTTCATGGGTCCCATGAGGTTTGATAAAATTTGAATGCTAAAATCTCATGGATTCCAACAGGTTTCATTTGGTTTGATGAGATTTGATTGCTAAAATCGCATGGTTCTGAGAGTGATGAGACATGATGAGAAACAAAAAAAATTGGAAATAAAAAATGGGTTTTAAAAAAATAGATTTCAGCACTGGAGGTTGATTAGTCGGGTCCAGGCCAAAAAGTTTGTTAATCCTGGGGGACCACCTGTTTTTTAGTTACATTTTTTTGGGGAGGCAGTGGTGGTTGATTAATCCGGCGGGGTTAATTAATCCCAACTTGATATTACAAGATGATGCAGGGACAGCTTCAGTCAAACATGGTGGCAAACGGAGAGTAGGAACACCAAAACAAAATTGGATTCAATACTAGTAGGGTTACTGTATTCACTCTCATGGCCACACCTCGGATTATGTCGCTTCAGATCACCGAAACCAACAAATTCTTGAATTTGCCAGACAAGGGTTCATGTAAGTTCACACTGTTGCAGGACGACGAATGGTAGTAGAAAACCTCCAGATCCCTCCAGCACAGTTGGTGGTGGTCCTGCTGGAAAACGATTCGCTACAACTTAAATCCTGACATGGGATGGCCTGCCTGGCCTTCTCCATTGTTTAGATCATTTTGCCTGGCGATGACAGTAAAATAGGGGTTGAAATTACGCAAACATCAAGCAACAGTCCATAAGCTGAGCCCAGAGAGAGGGAGAGAGCGTCCAGTTTTCGAATGTTTTATGTTTTCTAACTTTGGTTGATCTAGCTGAAAACCATGTAAAGCCTTGGTTCAACCAAGCATTCAGCCGATAGAAGCCAGCTTGGCATTCACCCGCGATCGCAGCATTGTGAAGTATGTGACATTATGCCGCCTCCAGTCACAGAAGCAGAAGGCTCATTGCCAACTTAAGATTTACAGTGCCAGCTGCGGCCTCCATGTTTAGCAACTACAGACAAATTTTGCACAGTCATTTGTCGGTTGATCCCTCTCTAGTTGTTACAAGTCATGTTTCAGTTTCGATTCATTTGAGTTGTCTCTGTACAGTTGCATAATTAAGTTTGTGTATATGCATTATAGTTATAGCATTTCATTACATATACATATATATATATATATGCAATTATTCCAGACGTTCCCAAAATATGGGGGCCATTGATCATTTCTAAAGCGGATAAAGCAATGTTTTGGGAGTCCTGCCAAGAAACTCCTATCCCCTAAGGTTTCAAGCCTTCGGAGCCGCACCTGTCAGCATATTTGGTGGCCTCTGGGACAACAATGACTTGTTGCCCGTAGGATGAGCTTTCGATGCTCAGGTGCACACTGTGTGTGTAGCCTTGATAGTATGTGTGTATATTAGTGTGTATATATATATGTGTGTGTTGTATATATATATATATATTGCATTGGCATTGACCGCATCGAAAAACACTTTGTACTGCTAGAAAATATATGCACATAAATACTCATATCGCACTAACTGATTCAACAAAAACTATTTCAGGCTGGTGACGGATTTTATTCTACTTCAGCCGGAATCATTGGCATGAGTCTTTGCTGTCGGGAATGCAATCCCTTCCACTTCCCACTAATCAATACCCCGCGCCGAATATTGCCCCCAAAAAAAACCCAAGAAGAGTAGATACAATACTACAGGATTTCTACGGGTATATTTGATATTATGGATTATATACAGAAGTTTGATTAAGTCATTCAGACCGAACCATCAGTGATCAGTGAATACCCTTGCAAGGAGGTGAAACATTTCAGCAAGCACCAAAGAGATGCTGAAATCTACACCGTGTACAGCTATGGGTCGTTGGTGGTGGTCACCCTTTGCGTGGCTTGGATCCCAAATGATCGAGGCTGCAGGTGAATCCGCAAATGTTTTCAAATTGGTAGAGGCAAATTCCGTTGGAAGAAGTTCAATGGGATGGCAATGCCCAAGAATACACGAATGGTTTGACAATGTTTTTGATGGAACGGGTTGGACGGATACATGAACATGTTGGTGTTCGGAAGCGAGGAGCTGCTCTGATTAAGTTGCTTATGTACCTCGGAATGTGGAAACTAGCAAGTTTGAGGCGAAAAAGAACCAGAGTATATCAGGGCAAACCGCGGCAAACCCCCTTGATTCTTCACTTAAATGAGCCCATTGAAGGGGCAAACGATAGGGAACCGCCTGGGTTTCTGAGGCACTGGTGAAAGTCTATACCCTGCGACTGCCCAACTTCAAAGGCGAGCATTTTCATGAGACCATGCTGTTTAAGGGCTGGCAGGTTATTACAAAATTATTGACAAACCATGAAGGGATGTTTGATTCAATGCGGACATGTATTTGTATATACATATTATTTATGTATGTATACATGTTTATATGTTCTGGGTCAATCGTAGGCCAGTTCAACACTTTTGAAATACTTTCTTGTTTTGTAATCCAGCTGGATATGATTGACCGAGCCGAGGTTTTCGCAGGTGCCCTTAGAGCCCATGCAGGGCCCTTTTCCCGCAATCACAAGGGGCAAATATATGATTTCAATGGACTTGAACAACATGAACAGAAATCAACGTATTGCAAACCCTCAGCCCAGATTTCGAGCGTTCTTGACTTCTCTGCCAGTTCTTTGATATATGTTCACCCATGTCCAACTGATGACAAGGCCAATCATTTCAAACATTTCCTTAAGAGGATGTTGGCGGGACAAAATTACAAGACTCACCAAGTATTTGTCCATCAATCCGTGCTATTTTACCCGGATGTCCCAAGAGAAAATAAGTTGCAGCTACTGTAACTAACTTATTCACCATACCTACAGCGCTCGCCCTCCTACCAGAAATCGTGGTTAATGTTTCACCAGTTCCGTCATTTTGAGGGTGCCCCCCGATAGTCAAACATGGCAATGAAAATCATAAGTTTCTTGGAATGTTTGCAGACAAAACCTTCGTTTATGAGTGGTTTTTCAGATTTTTTCATGATTTTCCAGTGCTTTTTCCTATGTTCATGTTCATTTGATGTTCCTATGATTTTCAATTGCAGATACCCCAGCATCTCACCCTAGGCTTGGGCAACAAAGCGCTGATCCTGCTGGGAGCAGGTGCACGTGTGGCCACACGCGTGCTGCTGCTCTACGGCACAACGCTCTGGCAGATGCAGCTAATGCAGGCGCCAGCAGCTAGCCACATTTGATTACCAGAGGGTACCTATATATAGTAAGCCCCAAAAAGGATAGAAAAGTAAAATGCCTCTACAGTAGTGATGATTTGATTGTTCTATTTTGCGGAGTACTACATATTTAGATACAGTTATATGCATACTATTCCGATTGTTATGGGGGTGCATGTATTTAAACATACAAATATACACACAACGGCCAGACCGATCTAAATGATGCTTAAATTCAATGGCCCAACATGTGAGATTAGAGATGTTTAATGAATAACGCTGGCCATGTGGGGCTGGGAGGATCCCACAGATCCTGGACATTCCGTCGGACAGGTGGCCTTTTCCGTGGGTTTGGTCGGGGAGTTTGCCTTCTACGCCTACTGTTTGAAGGTCATTCCTGGTGAGAGTCAAAGGCTCACAGCCCTTGTGCAGAGTTCGCAACTTGGTGCAATCTTATGCAAAACAATTCCAAGTTGATCAGCATACCAGGCTGGTTTTAGTGGTTTGAAATGTCCATGTGTTTATCTCAAATCCCACCTGAGATGAAACGATCCGGATTCATCATGATTCATTGACATTTTGAGATGGGTTGACATGGCCAACCAGTAGGGGAGTCCAGTCTAGGCTATCACCAGAGTAGAGTGTAGACAGACCATCCATGCCTTTGAATGACACCAGTTTGATGGACACATGTGTGCATGACCGGGAGTTTGAATTTGATGTACTGTACTGTGATACATTCAACTTCGCTGGAAGCTATAACGATGCAAACAGCATTGTTTGCAGCACACTTTGGTTCTGACAGTATGGGATGATCTCCAAATTCCAAAGTGGTTTGTTGTATCTATAATTATATACATTTGAATATATGCGTATTTATCGAAGGAAATTTAGAAGTCAAACTTCCGACTTATGGACGAATGCAGCAACAGCGGTGAGAGCAGTCAGAGAAGAGAAAGAGAAAGAGTCAGAAGAGAGAGAGTCAGAGAAAAGACAGTCAGTAAAAAAAAAAACGCAATGCCCAAAAAGGTAGAAACGTCGCCAAACACTATGCTATGTTTTTCGTATGTTTCAGGGCTCGGGAGGGTCGAAAAGTAGGCTCGCTAAAGCAGCGGGTGCGGAGCCATTTGGTCGGATGAGAGATCAAAAATTGCACGCCGCCGTGGCGCGAGGCACATTGCCAAGTCAAAAGGGTAAAAGCACATCGGGTTTGGTAATCACAACAATTCACCTCTCTCTCTTAGGTTTCCTATCTTTGAACCTTCCGCCGCGGCCTTGTGCGGTACTATATACAGCGTTCGCCGGCTTATTCTTTCATCAACCGAGTTGGGCGTGACTGGCTATGCAACACAAATTGCACGACTTTGATTTCGTTACCGTCTCTCCCTCTAGCCTGACTGGGGCATCGATACGCTAGGCTCCTTCAAGGGTGGCATATGAAAAAGGTTGGAAGTATATTTCCTGGCTGGTGGTTTCAATTAGTTTAAACACTAGAACTAGAACTACCCAGTGATGAGCATGTGTTCTTGATGGCTTGCAACCATGGATCAGTTTCGTTCACAGCAAACACATTTCTTCCTCCAGGGCTTTAAGGGTGTTGCCTCTAGGTATTTGGTGTCTCACACCTTGGCTGGTCTGCTGGGGGATTGGCTTCTCCATCATACAGACCTTGGCTTGGTGGGTTTGCTGTGCTTTGGCGACAAATTTTTGTCAACCCGCATGTGCAACCAGTGGCATGTGATTGGGCCACCATATTAGTGCTTCATTCAGTTGATCCGACATGACGCAATACAAGACCATCTCCGTATCTCTTGCAACCTGGTGTTCCAAGTTTCACTATAGAAGGGAGATGCATGCTGGAGATTTTGCGTAACAAGACCGAACAAACGTCCGATGTGCGAAAATACAATGAACCATAGTGCGCAAAGGGCACTCTGGTGCACCTAGAGGGTGTATATATATATATATATGTGTGTGTGTGTATGTGTATATATATAAATATATTAACATAATTAATAATTATTTGCATTCCGTCCATCATTTCAATTACATTCCCAGTCTTTTTGGGTATCACTTGGAATCATTTAAAGTTTCCATCTCAATATACTGTAAAGATGCGCGCACATTTACCGTACATTACATGACATTGCATTATAGTACATTACATTACATTACATCACATGACATCAAATGACATTCCATTCCATTACATTCCATTACACTGCACTCATTGAACTACACGACATGACATTGCATTACACTGCATTACATTGCACTGCGCACATTACACTACATTACATCACATCACATTACATTACGCCACGCTACAATCCACTTCACTACACTGCTTACATTACATTATATTACATTACATTACCTTACATTACATTACATGGCACTACATTAAATTACATTACATATATTACATTGCATTGCGTTCCATTACACATGACATGACATGCCATCAAATTACACTGAACGCATTACTTTCGCAATCAATGCTCACACGAAGTAGCAAGTGCCTGTCTCTCTGATGTCCACGATGTTTTGCCTCACGCTAGGGGTCGCGCCGCTAGTAGCTCAAGGCGCCTATCACGCCACGGTGCCGATATGGCAAATGGAAAATATGGTTGAATGTCCTGAAAAGAGAATGACGTGTCAATGCATTCTGACACGGGGGAAAAAGAATGTTATCAGCCACATTTCGGCTGAAATCAAAAGCCTCGGCCGCTCAGTTCACCTTTAAGCTCTGTCATCTAATGCACTCACATGACTCCATGCACCCCATGATCCTGGATCGGTCATGATAGAGAAACCATGGTGGACGTTTCTCCAAGTGCAACGCGTTTGGATGATTTTGTCTTGAATGATGCCATCTTTGATCTTTTGAATCTCACTGGCGCAGCGCAAAGACTCTGCATCACGTCGTGCTTGGTTAATTCCTTCAGCAAATCCAGTCAAATACTTTCCATCGCTGATGTTGCACAAACGATGCCAGAGTTGCATCTGTTCCACAGTGCTGGACGTTCCAGGATACTTGCTCTGATAGCGACTGATGCGTGATGAGATGCTCGTGTTTTCATACCACCAGTCACGTGCATGATGCCCGTGTTGCCCAGTCAAAACTTTCTGTGAGATCTCTCGCCAAAACTGTTGGTTTTCTTCCGCATAAACAGTCTCATAAGCTTCGCGCCATCGCTGCTCCTCGCTCGGATCGACATGGCTCGGCCGGGCGTAGGTCTCAGCAAACATGATGTCATTCTCATGGTCGGAGTTCTCTTCAAACGTGTCTTCATCGTCCAAAACTGCCTCATTGACTGGGGCCTGGACATTCTCAGAAATCATGTCATTCTGATCAAAGGCATTGCACTCAGGGACTGCCAAAAACTTGATGAAAAACCAGTGTCCAAAACGAAAATAGATCATCAAAAACATCACTGTCATGAAAGTCACCGTCATCCATCCAAACAGCAAATTGTCACTTGTGTTGCGCTCCACATCTTCGTGTCGAGCGGCTTCTGCACCTGCAACATTTTCTGCCGTCAAAATTGCCATAGCCATAGATGCTGACTTTTTCCACGTATCAGACCAACCGTACTTGCGATGGTGGTCAAGGTAGAAATGCCTTCGGCTGCAATACTTGTTGTTCTTGTTCTTTTCATCGATTGGTTTTCTACATTCCGCCAGTTGACATTCTCCTGGCTTCTTCTCTCTGTTCTCAACCTCTGCAAATCCAAAAATCTGCTCATTTGCTGCATCTTGAAGTTCTTTCTCTTGTGCTTCACGATCTTTCTGAGTCACTTTCTTTGCTGCCGTGAAGTTTGGGTCAAAACGCATTTGATGATTGCCTCTGTTGAGAACCTCTGCAAACTTGTCTTTGGCTGATGGCTTTGTCAATCCATCTGCCAACTGCTGAAAAGAGTTGATCCATTTCCACTCTGCCTGCATTGCTTTCACCCTTTCCGCGACAATCGCTACCTCAATTGCCGTTCTTCTCTCACTGAGATGCATACCTGCAGTGACGGACTTGGAGGAGTCATAGAGACTCTTGGCGTCCGTCAAAACAAAAGACAAGCCACTCAGCTGCAACGTGGCCTCCTTCTCAATGTTCAGCGTTGGATTGATCATGGTGGCCCAAAAAATCTTGCACCACTCCAGTTCGTCCACCGCTGCTGCTGATGCCTGAGCTTCTGCCGCCAAAGATGACCTGCACATGCGAACCAGTTTCTTTGAGTGCCAGTCGACGATGGTGAGACTCATCGGTTGGCCACCTCGAAGTTCTTCTTCGCTGGCTGCAAAAATCATGAAGCCCCCTTGACTGGTTCCGTCTGGGCGAACTGCCCATGCCGCATCTGAATACACAGAAAACTTCACATCTTTCATTTGATATGCGTGCTTGATCATTTTCATCTTGTACTCCTGTGCTACGTTCTTTGCAAATCTCAAAAGTTTGTTGCTTTCATTCACGTCCTTGATCTGCGGTTTTGCCACAGATGCCTGCAAAATGCTCACCGATGCCGACAGCTGTGGCATGCATTGGTTTGCAGGCCATGCAAGTGCACCCACAAGGGCACGAAGGCATCGGTGCTCTTTTTCATCGCAAGGCTCATTTGGCATGGCTTTGCGACTCTTCTCAATTGTGATGGGATGCACTCTCTTCACATACTCTTTCATGGAAATGGTCAAGCTGTCGTTGGCTAAAGATTGCTCCACATCTGCTCCGCAAAATCGGATGACTGGGCCAAAATCCCAGGATCCAAACCTGAAACGACGTGAAAGACCACAAAGCCGATCTCTGAAACTTGCAAAGCTTCCATCGTAATCACCTTCCAAATCTCCTGCTCCATTCACGCCTTCACCGGCGCCAAGATAGTCATCCACATGCAAGCCCATGATGCCGTCCACAGTGAACATTTCTGAGCCCACGTGAAAACAAGTGAACTCTTCGTCCTCTTGACAAGCCAACCTCAGACTGAGATAGACACAACGGTCCGAAGGATGCCTCAGAAACTTGACCTCGTTGACCATGACACCATCAGCTGATGAGTTCCATTGTCTTGGTGCTCTCACATCGCCGAAAGCTGGCTTGGTGGCTTTCAGCAGCTGAAAAGGTTTGAGGCCCATCAATCGCTCCAGTCGCCTGCGCATGTCGGCTGAAGGTCTGATGAAGATCCTAGTGTTCTGGTCAATGCTTTCTGCCTGCATGAATGCAGACTTGACATCTGCGGCAAACAACTTCCACTGCTTCTGAAGTGCATAGCAGTAGATGAGGTGTTTTCCCATTCGGCTCAAAGTGGGAGATTCTGTCTCGATCTCCTTTGTCAACACATCTCGATGTTTGAATCCTTGCAAGATGACTCTCGCGTTCGCCACTTTGCCACCGGGCGCACCTGGCTTGGGCTTCCATCTCTGCAAAAACCTAGCAGGGACTGTTTCCTCTGGGTCTGCCTCCTCCATAGGAACTGCACGCCATGCCTCATTCTCTATCCACACCTTCAAAGCTTGATCTTTCGCTTCATCAAAGAGTTTCTTTTCTTCAAGGCTGAGTCTCTTCTCATTGAACTCCTCAGCCAACAGTTCATCGTCAGATCCTACCTCTTTGTCACGAGCTCCTTCAAGCTCTCGACAAGCTCCATCAAGCTCCTTTGCGGTCAAGGGACGAGGGGCTAAACCATCCAGCTTTCTGGCCGCCTCGTGGGAGATGTTCAGCATGCGCACACGTTGCTCATCCTCTGGTGGAGGGCTCCTTGATCTCTCCCGCTGGTCACCTTTTTCATCTACTTCCTTCTCCAAATTCTCAAACATTTGATCCACTTCTTTGTCAATCCTCCTCTTTCGCTCTTCATCTGTTTCCACCTCCATGGGATTCTTCTCTGCTGTTGTGACTTCATCTGCTGATCTCTTCAAAGCCGAAATGGCTCCCTCCATGTTGCTGGTTCCATTGTTTTCTGCTTCTGATGCTTTGTTCTCCTCTGCTGCTGCTGTGTTCTCCTCTGCTGTTGCTGTGTTCTCCTCTGCTGTTGCTTGCGCTTGCTGTGATTGGTCTTGGTCTTGTGTGTCAACAGAAGACTCACCGGGCCCAAGATCAAGAAAGCGAATGGGACCACGCACAGGACGGAGGGCTTTCAAGACTCTCTTCGTGCGGCCGTGTCAGGAAAAGCTTGTAGGCGAGCTTCTCGTTCTGCAGGAACCTCTCGACGTGCCATCACCTGTCCAACGCGCACTAAAGCTGCGCCATGCGCCATCCAGTAGGTTTCTGGTCGGCCATTGGGGTGCTGCTCAATTGCGCACACCAGAGCTGGACCTCGCCAACGTGAGAGCTCTTTGTCCATGTTGATACGCCAGTAGTAGGCATAATCGCCCACAACCAGCGGACTGTCATCTGTCCTGGTCTTGGCCAGCATTGCCTGACGAAGAGTGGCGTCAGTGTTGGCTTCATAGAAAGCTTTTGTTGCCAGGGCTCGGACTGCTTGATCCTCCATGTGTGCTTGTCGTCCTTGTACCCGGAGTCGTGTAGGCTCATCACTGATCCCATCATCCTCCGGTGTGTATCCAAGCACCATAGCTGCAGGAGAGATGCCATGGATTGAGCGCAGTCTGTTGCGCTGTGAGCACGCGATGATCACTGCCTTCTTGACATCCAAACTCTCGTTCTCGTGCATCATTTTCATGAGTTGTCTTCTACGAACTGCATGAAGGCGCTCCACTGTGCCCATGCGATTGTGAGAGTCCTTAGGTACCAAGATCAACTTGATGCCAAACTCATCGCACCAGGCTTGCATCTCCTCTCCCATGTGAGCTCCTGACGAGTCTGTCCGGATTCGGCGAGGTACACCCGCCCATTGCATCCACTTCTCCAACACTGCAACCTCTTCTTCCAAAATTTCACGGCCAAGCACCTCGTTGATTTCGTACCTGGTGTGAAGATCCATCACTGCTAAGACCTTCACCTTCTCACCACGCCACTTCAGGTGAAAAGTGTCCATCTCCAAAAGGTCATTGAAATGGGTTGTTTGTGGCAAAGAAGTTGGTCTGTCAAGCTTTCTGGGGGCAAAGGATTCACATATGTCGCATCTAAACTGTCGACCGCACTGCACGACACTGTCATCAAACTTCGCATCACGGAGTGCTCTGACAAGGCGGTCATTTCCTGGATGACCCAGTTGGCGATGAAGTTTCTTCACCACGTTGAGGGCAGTTGGACCAAATTCTTTGGAAAGACGTCGATCATGTTCTGTGAGACGGTGTGTCGATGACTGCTTCTTCTTCTCTAGTTCTTTCTCTGTCTCATCCACTTCATCCGTGACCATGATTTGGCTGATCTGACGTTTCCTCCAATTGTCCTCCATGAGATTGTAGATGACAGGAGCTGCAATGGATACAAAACCAAGTTCATAGTTTTGCATGTCCTTCAGCGCCGTGCTTTTGCCCACCATCTGTACATGTGAACCTGGGGGGCATTCGCATTGGAGAGAAAGTGCATCTGCCAGTTCGACGCTTCCAGTTCTGATCCTTGTGCTCTTTTTGACCTTGCCTTTGAAAACTCCATTCTCGTAGTATGCCAACCCCGTGCGACAACGGTCGCATGTGGCATCATAGAAATTCTCCATGGAGTCCCACGTTTCTGTCTTCCATGATGCTGCTCTGTCTGGATTTTCTATGCCAGTGTCTGCAACAATCTCTTCTGCTTTGTCGTGAACGTCTTTGCAGTGCTTCAGGTGTTGTTTCTCCTCCAAGTCTCGCAGCTGTTGCAAACGTTTCTTTGAAGAGGAATCCAGGGCGTTCAGATTCTGCATGGTTGACCACAAAGTGCAGGGCGGTGCCATCCAAATAAAGTGCGGTTTCTCCTGCTCCATCAATCTCAAAAAACATGCTCGGACTTCTTCTTTGCTGAAGTCCCAATCAGGCAGTGAGAAATTGGAAACTTGCACATCTGGATATTTCTCTGCCATGTACTTTGACAAATTGCCGTGATCAACGTACAACTCCCAAAACAGAAGCTTTCTCCCAGCAAAAACGTTGCTTGTTGTCTTTTCGCTCATCTCCAAAGCATCCTCCAAATCAACCTGCACATTGTTGCTGGCTGGCGCATCCTGAGGTTCACGCTCTAAACTTGGCTCAATGCACCAGCTGTCACCATTCTTTTCGGCAAGGAGGACAATCTCTTCCTTGGCAAAAACTGCATTGGGGACAATCTCGCCATCCTCATCCAAATGATAGACTTCACATCCATTCAATTGCTCCACCATGTGATTCACTTCAGCTGGTGCCTTGTAGTCCAAGAGATCCAAAATGTAGTGTTTCTTGCGGTCTCTCTCAGGCTCAAACCATTCGGAGTTCATCACCTTCATCTTCGCGTTCTCATAGTCTTGTTTGACTTTCCATTCCTCCAAAGTGGGTCTTGCCAGCAAAAATGGTGTTGGTCCTGGAACCACCGATGCTCGCAAAGACAACTTCTGGCCCCTGACGTACGCAGGGAAGATCACCTCATAGTTGGAGCGCACAGTGTTTCCATCTCCAAATCGAAAATCTCTCATGACATGCTCCATTTTCACCTCCTTCGCATCTGCTGGACGCATCACGTCCATCCACTTCTTCCAAATCTCTTCACCGACTATGGTCCTTGACGCTCCAGAGTCGATGATCGCCTTTCCGGTGTCAAGACTGGCAAAGAGACACTCTTCCGTTGCTACCATGACGCTGACCTGCTGCTGGTTGATCTCCTCCACCATGCTGACTTGCTCTTCTGGAACCTCTTTAACGCCACTGCTCTGAACTCTGTATCTCTTGAACCTTGGCCCATGCTGTCCAGTTGACCCAGACAGCGTGGATTTGAAATCACTGCCAGGCGCTGTGCTGGTAGAAGAGCTCGATGGTAGTCTTCGCAAACCGCTCGCTGGCCTTCTCGTCCATGGAGTTCTCCGCATGTTGTTGTTGGGACCTTTTCCCTTTCCTTTTCCTTTGCTGCCTTTTGATTTTCCACGTCCTTTTCCACTGGACTTGCCCTTGCCTTTCTCCATGACATCCGGCGGAAGTGCAACCACCGGATAGAAGCCACGAGCCAATGCAAGCTCTCTCATCCTGCGACGGCTCTCCACGTAGCTCACAAATGCGTCCTCCACCTGGTCCGCCGCATGCCCGATGTCCTCTGGGACTTCATCCTCATAGTATGCCTCTTCAATGCCTTCGTCATACTCGTCCTCATAGAACGCCTCATAGTATGACTCATCGTCTTCGTCTTGGTAGTAGATCTCGTCATCCATGTCCTCATAGAAGACGTCCTCACGACTGCTCTTGCCGATGTCCTTTGGGTTCGGACGGTGGTCACCTCCGAACATTCTCATGAGCGACCTCACGACCTTGTCGTACTCCAAGTCACCTCCACACATGGACTTGACTTGCACATGCGTCCATTTTGGTACTCCAGCTCGAGTCAACGAGTGCCAACCTGCCATGAGCTTCGGGATTTCTATGTGTACTTCTCGCATTTTCTTCATCATGGTTCCATGTCTCAGGATGTACGCCTGAAGGTCTTCATTCTTCAGCCTCATGAAGTCCTGAAAGAACTCCTCGCATCGGCTTGGCACTTCGATCAAGTCCTCATACTGATACAGCTTGTCAAGGAGAGTGAAGATGGGTTTGAAGGGCTCATCATCCAATTCTACTTCATCCAAGTCTAACTGTTCAGTCGCTTCCCATGCCGCATCATGTAGGAGACTCACTGCAAGAAAGGCACCTTCGATCGCTGTGTCACGACCTCGACGACCACATTGCTTTGCAAAGAGCTGCAATCGCCTACGGTAGCTTCGGTAACTTTTCTGGTTGAGGCCTTCTGCAATCGGTGCAGACTTGGCCAAACCAGAATCTAAACCACGTTCTCTCTGCTGATGCCCTTGTCCTGCTGCTCCTGTTGTTGTTCCACCATTTGCGGCTTCTCCACCACCATTGCCTGGCATGCTTACAACGTTCCTAAGTTAAAGACAAAGTTGTTCTCAATCTTACCCTCAATGATCGATGTAAAGCCCTATGCAATGATATAGGTGGTGGTAGTAGGAGCCTACGGTCTCTGAACCTTGTAGTGCCCCGCTACCAATTTCGCAATCAATGCTCACACGAAGTAGCAAGTGCCTGTCTCTCTGATGTCCACGATGTTTTGCCTCACGCTAGGGGTCGCGCCGCTAGTAGCTCAAGGCGCCTATCACGCCACGGTGCCGATATGGCAAATGGAAAATATGGTTGAATGTCCTGAAAAGAGAATGACGTGTCAATGCATTCTGACAACATTGCATTGCGTTCCATTACACATGACATGACATGCCATCAAATTACACTGAACGCATTACATTATGTGACAGTGCATTACACTGCACACGTTACATTATTTTACTTTACATGGCATTCCATTAAACTGCACACATTACAATCCATGAAATTCACTTACATCAAATTTCGCCCGTTGCGTTACAATTCATTACATGACATTGTTTACATTACACTACACTACATACATACATTACATAACATCACATTACATTTCGTCAAAAAAACATTACATTCCACTGCACACATTACATTACATTTCGTCAAATTACATTTCATTACATTACACTGCGCACATTGCATTGCATTACATGACATTGCATGACATTCCATTACATTTCCGTACATATACATGCACATACATGCGTATATGCTTGCATACATGTATATATAGCATGTGATTGTTTCGTATAAGACATTCCCATCGGTGGTCAAGAGATCGCTCCAATGGTCCTATATGTTCCCAGGTGGATTGCGGCCGTGTCGGTGTTCCTGTCCTGCCCCCTGGCATGCAGCCTGAAAGAGGTGGACAAGTTGGATCGCCCTGCAGTGTCTCCCAAGGCCCAGGGGCCCCAGGGGTCAAGGGCGGAGAGGCAGGGCTCAGGCCCTTCAACTATATCAATGGGATATGTATGACGATGGATGGATAGAGAGATGGAAAGTGATATATATATATATAGATAGAAAGTGATATATATATATTACAATGAACACTATAGAATAGAATAAGATAAGTTAGGACAAAGTAGGATAAAATAGACTTATATTTTATAATGGTATATTCATAGGATATCATAGAATATAAGTGAGATATTGATTGGAATATAAAGGAAAACCCAATAATAATGAGTAACGGATAGTGGCATATAGTGGGATAGTTGGGGCTTATAAAGGACAATTTGACCATCAGAGGCCACTAATAAGGGCGAACTTTAACCATCCATTTTTGGTGGTTGGTGGTCACCGAAAAGCGGGATGTTGGTTGAATCCCAATGATAAGGTAAAACCATGAGAATTTAGGCATGGGGTTTGCCTGCCAAGCCTTCCATGGGATGGTGTTTGGATTTTTTGAGTGTTGATGAGACAGTCAAGAGAAAGAAATGAACATGGAAGTTATGACACAACCACACATTCAGATGTTGAATTGTGACAGGAAATTAATTGTCCAACGCCATCTCGAGGGATCCACGACATAAGAGTATGTTTTCAAAGATGACAATGGTGACATGAGGCAGCTCAAAGTCTTGGTGGGCACAAAGCTTCCTCAAAAGAGTCCTCCCCGACAGGTAGCCTTCCCAGTTTGTCATGGTTTGTCACCCCTCCCTGGTGATTGAATCAGCCATCAGGCAGTTCACTCCCATTGAAACTATGAGGTCTTATGGGGCATCTATTCGTCTCCTCGCTACTTCTGGCTGTCAACGCTCTGGTGGGTCTTGAGCTATCCGGCTTACCAGACCATCTATGGTGCCTTGCAATAAGAACCACATGGGAAACCACTGGTTTCGGGTGAGTTGAGTCAGGGCCAGGTGCGGTGCTGCAAACCCTATAGTTCTTTGACAGGGTTGTGTGCTTACTACTGTACATTTTATTGTTCATCACCGTCTCTGGGATTTTGAATGAGTATGACATCCAGACAAGTTTATAGTTTAGAGTTCATTTTACGAATCTATTCTCAACATGCAATACGATAGCTATTCTTCTCAACCAAACTAAGTCCTTCGACTGAGCAGCTCTTAGCAAGGTTACGAGTCCTCGCTCTACGCCGATCGGTTCAGTGATGCTGCGATAGATTTTCGGCCTTCCTTGGTAGTGCGTTATGGTTTACCTATCTTAACGGTTGAGCCAACCGCCCTTTATTTTGATTGTCGTCATTGATAGCCAATCAATATTGATATTCAAGTCCCATCTGAATCCCAAGTTGTTGGTTTGGGTCATCTTCAGTGGAGCGATACCCAAAGGGCAGTCATCACCGATGCCCAAGGGGCAGTAATCATTTGCCAGCTTAGGCACCCGTTGCTTGCTTTTGTTTTCCTAAACACCAAAGCCCAAGGAGAAGTCAATAGGTGGTTGCAGTCAGACTTGCTGCTGTGTTGTGCAAAAACCCATTTAGATCCATGTAGGCCCTATTAACCAGCAACCATGTATCGTTTGATTGTTCTTTTCGTGGATTGATAGCACCAAACGCCAAATATGAACAAACAGGATGTCAACCATTATACAGTAGAGGGGTTGGGCCATTAAGATTACATTGATATCGCATTATACCCACTTGTATCCCATTAATGTCCAGATTATATCACATATCCTATGAATATTCCATTATATCAACTTGTATCTTATTTATTTCTAGATAATATCCCATCAATATCCCATTATGTCCAGTTATATATATATATATACATATCTCTAAGCCGAGTTGTTGATGTCTCCATTATCCCGCATAAATGACCACTTGTCATGCTTGACTGCTTGACCATCATTTTTGTTGCCTAAATCATCATTTTTGTTGTGGTTGTATCCCATTAATATACTCATTCATTATCATGCTCTTGTTGTTTAAACCATCAGTTTCAAGTTTTGTCACCATTCAACCACCATTTTTGCAGGTGAAATCATTATTTCAATTAGTGAAACATGGTTAAACCACCATTTTTGGTTCACCCAACAAAAAAATTGTGGTTTTCAATCGGTGAAAGCCCCGGTTTTGGTGCTTCAAAACGAGGACCACAACGGCAGCATCTTTGCCGTGGCCTTGCTCTGCGGCGCCCTGAGCTCCGCGACGCTCTCCTGGCACAGCGTGGAACGCAGGGTCCGCCAAACGCCCACGTCAGACACTGGGCGATGCGGTGGGGAGGGGTGTCACCAAAATGGTCATAGATTCATGGTGATTTATGGCACTTTATGGTGATATGATATGGGGATATAGATGCATCTGGGATATAACAATGAAACAAAGACGAAATATGGTGATTGATTTAACATGGTTAAACCATAAAAGATTGTGGTTTAACCGTGAAAAATGATGGTCAAGCCATGAACAATGGTGGTTTAAGCATCTAACACGAATCATGGAAAATGGTCACAATTGCTGTAAAAAAATGGTGGTTGAACATTGCAAATGTTGGTTGAATGGGGTATAGTGGAGTATAGCCCTAACCAATTATGATTTAGGTTTGGGTTTGCCCACAATGTGGAAAAGAAAGTATATATAGCAACCTCTGAAAAGAAGGAAAATAAAGTCATTATATAAGAGTCATAGATGTGTGGAAAATACCGTTCTATTTTTTTTGAGATGGCGCTATATGCTCCAACATTGACAATTCTTGAGCAACGTGGTAATAGGCTATTGGATTTTGA